GTCCATCGACAGATGAAGGGTAAAGACGTGGCCTATGTATACAACGGAGTGTGACTCAGCCGTCAGAAGAGTGAAATCTTACCACTTGTACAGCGTGGATGGAACTAGAGAGTATGATGCCGAGCGACATAAGTCAGTCAGAGAAACACAATTATGCCTTGACCTCACTTATATGTGGAATTTAAGAAACAAAACAGAGGATCATGGGGGGAGGGAGGGGAAAATACAGTAAGATGAACTCAGGGAGACAAACCACGAGAGACTCATAACTCTAGGAAACCAACTGAGGGTCACTAGAGGGGAGGCTGGGGCGACAGGGTGAGGGGGTGACGGGCACTAAGGAGGGCACGTGGTGGGATGAGCACTGGGCGCTGCGTGCAGCTCGTGAATCACTGACTCCTACCTCTGGAGCTAACGATACACTATATGTTAATTCACTGAATTTAAATAAAAAACAAAAACAAAATAAATAAAAAGGGAAGATTTTCGTAGCAAACTGCCCAACTCTTCAGGCCCGACTGCTCTCTGTGTGACCAACTCAGAAAGGCAGCTGCTGCCCCTGCTCTGCCCGGCTCGTCTGCGAGCAGGACCGGGATCCTTCCCTGCTTCAACGCCAGATGCGGCAGATGCCCAGGGCTGACCCGGACCAGGCCAGAGCCTCCGCTCAGCCGCTTCCCACGGGCCCACCTCGCGTTGGCTGCGCTAACTCCCGCCCTCTTGTTCTCTTGTTGGTCGTGTGGCTTGTCTTGTGTTCTCTGCCGTGTGCCGTACTAATCGCATGGTGAAAAGTCACTGAATTTGGGATCTTGACCTTATTTTATGATAAAGTTGCCTTGTTTGGTGACTGAATAAAGCCAGCATTGTGGGAAGACACGCCTGTGCTGTGCAGCTTCCCAGTGCGCTCACGACACCATCCCCTGGCGCCGCAGAAGACAGGATAGCCGCATGTGGGACTCCTGGGCCGGCCTCTGCCCCGGTGTGCCATCACCTCCATGACACGGGGCTGGAACAAGGCCAAGAGCACCCTTCTCAGTGAGGGTGCTGCTCCCACGCAGACATTCCCTAGAACGGCCTCCTCGTCCACCTGGGCCCCGCTCGGGTGAGTGAGCTCCTCTCCACCCTTCCTGGCCCGCTGCCAGTGCCTGTCCTCTGGGAAGCTGCCCGTGGAGTCCCACCCATGGCTCAGCCTCGACCTGCAGGGGAGGGCAGGCCCGGGCTGTCTCAGGTGCGTCCTGCGGGACAGGATGCTGGCAGCCGGGACACCCTTGTTTATCCAGTTTGCCATCTTGCTGCTCCTGGAAAATACCAGCCGCCCATACTTAGCAGCACTGGCGTCCCTACATCCTGGCTCCTTGCTGTCCAGACAGGCCAGAACTGGGTCATCAGCCCACCTGGGCTCCCAGGGAAATTCTTCACCACTCCCCGCCCCCCACCACTCCTTTCATTCCTCCCCTCAAAGGGACCGGCTGGGACATGCCCAGATAAGCAGCTCATTGTGTTTCTGTGTGTACTTTCAGAGAACCCCAAACCCTGAGGCTGGGATCCCTCAGGATGGATATAGACGAGCTAGAAGCTATTCCCTCGCCTGGCATTGAACTCCACTCCTCAGAGTGACTGAGAGGGAGACGTGGGGTTTCCTGTCACACAGGTGTGCAGGGCAGGTGGAGGAACTGGGGCAGCAGTGCGCCTCTGGACTGGACACCCAGCATGGACCTTGACAGCCCAGAGCGCTTGCTCCTACCTTCCAGGAAGAAATCTTGACTGTTCTTAGGAACCCCAAGACCTCCACCCAAACCAGAGGCAGGGCAGGTGGAGGAACTGCTTCCCCATAGCTTCCCCATGCTATAGGGAAATGGAAGATGGCAGTGCCAGGGCAGGGAGGGAAGAGGTTAGGCTGACCAGGGCACTGGCCAGAACAACTCAGAACATCAATTCTGCTCAAAACACTCAAGAATTGCACTAGCCTGACCCCTCCAGCTGCTCCTCTCTGCACCCCACCCTCTGCTCCGAGCAAACTGGCCTTTCTTTGCTCTTCCCCACACTCTGGTTGTAGGTCCTAAGGCTAGAACAGCTTCTAATCTCTATGACCAGGGCTAAGGCTCAACCTATGAACAGGGTCAAGGCTCAGTGTGTGACCAAGGTCAGGGTCAGTGTGACCAGGATCAGGGCTCAGAGTGTGACCAGGGCCAAGGAGCAAGAATGCCTCACCCCCTTCACAGGGGGCAAGAAAACCTGCCCCCTTCAAGATCCTCCTAGCTGGATTAAGATTCAAATCAACACAAGACAGATTAACAGGAGAAATAAAATTTAATAGGTGCACTACAGGGAATCCACATAGACATGCAAATTCCAAAGGCAGGAGAAATGAGGTGTATATGGCAGTGTGAACTAAGGAGAAAGTGGTTTGAGATTTCAGAGGAAAGGGATGCACTTCGCCGGGCTGCAAGAAGAGCAGGTGTTTGGTAATGAGCCATTTGGCCGGCTGTATAGAGAGGGCTCTCAGATAACATTTATCTCTGTTAATACCCCTTATTCTGGGAAAGACCCCCAATTCAGATTCTTCAATAGAGTTCATGGAGGGACAAAAGTTTCTCTTGAGGCTGAAGGATCTCAAGTGCCTTCAGCTCAAGATAGCCCACATGCCAAATTGGTACTATCTGTGGGAGTCCGAGTGGAGGACTGTCTTGAACCCTCCACCAGGCTCAGGGTTCAGGGTGTGACCAACATCAGGGTACTCTTTGGTCATGTAGGCACGGGAGACCCCTTTTCCAGCCCCTGCCCAACAGGGAGGGGCCTCAGTTCAAATTCTGGGTCCCCCTCCCTTCCTTCCCAGCACAAGAGGGAGGAAGGGTAAGAAGCAGGGTAGAAAGGAGGGGCCGAGGGAAGGTAAGAGAAAGGGATGGGGAGGTCAGTGCAGGACTCTGCCTCTGGTTTGGGTGGAGGTCTTGGGGTTCCTAAGAACAGTCAAGATTTCTTCCTGGAAGGTAGGAGCAAGCTCTCTGGGCTGTCAAGGTCCATGCTGGGTGTCCAGTCCAGAGGCGCACTGCTGCCCCAGTTCCTCCACCTGCCCTGCACACCTGTGTGACAGGAAACCCCACGTCTCCCTCTCAGTCACTCTGAGGAGTGGAGTTCAATGCCAGGCGAGGGAAGCCATGCATCAATGGTGGCCTGGGTGGGAATCTGGGCCTTAATTGGAGAACACCCAGCTTATAAAGTTTCAGATGCCCAATTAGGGTATGGAGGGAATGGTGGGGATGGGGGGATGGAGGGGGAAGGAGAGGATGAGGGGATGGGGGGATGGAGACGATGGTGGGGATGGGGGGATGAGGGGATGGGGGATGGAGGGGATGGGAGGATGGTGGGGATGGAGGGATGGTGGGGATGGAGGAGATGGTGGAGATGGAGGCGGTGGCGGGGAGGTGAGTGAAGCGCCAGGCATGCTTGGACACTGGGTTCGGCCCCAGGGTAGCCCCCCCTACCCCGATCCCCCACCCCGTGTCTGCGTTCTGCGTTTGCACAAGGTGGCCGGGGAGTGAGCAGAGCGGGTGCTGCACTGCAGGTCCTGTGAGCAGGTTCCTGAGGACGGAGGCTGCCCTAAGGTCTGGGTGTGGGCCAGTAAGGCTCACATACCCTAAGGCTGAAATTTGAATGTTCTAGAAGAAGTGTTAAAAAAAAGGTGACATAAAACGTCATGGACAAAGTTACTATCAAATAAATTGATGGACGTTTGGACGCCCGGTCCTGGCAGTATCACTGGGCGGCGGCCGTTCGGGAGCCTGTCCTCCCGGGCTGTCACCTGTGCGCCCTGCACGGGCCCCACACTCAGCCCGCAGCCCCCCCCCCCCCCCCCCCGGCCGCCTGTGCTCCCTCCCGCCCCACCTCCACCCCCCACCCCCACCGTCCTTTGCGGTTCTGTGTCTAGGGACGGCACCAGCGGCGCAGCCCAGCCGAGCCTGGACGCAGACAGGAATAGGAATACCCGGTCTAGGACCGTCCTAGACAGAGATGATTCTGTCCAGGAAGGAAAGGAGGGGAGGGCGTTGGGACGTTAGGCCAGGCCTGGTGGAGGGCGCAGAGGTGTGTGGCCCCTGTGGAGGCCCAGGGGAGGCCAGGGGAGGCCAGGCTGCCTGGGTGGTGCGCACCTGCGGGCTCTGCATGGACTGGAACCGTCCGAGTTGCGTATAGGGTGGTGGCTCTGGCCACTGGGGAGGGGACTCCAGCCACCAGGAGAGAGAGCCTGGTGACCCTGGGAGGGGATGGGTGAGCGCCCACCCTCAGCCTCTGGAACTCCAGCCCGACCCCAAAAGCGCACCTGGGGCCTGCCTACCGTGTGCAGGCTGTTTCCTGCATCCTCCCAGGGCTCCCTGGGCGCCCGTGGGCCCCAAGCCTGGCCCGGGGACCTGGGGCCATGATTTGGGCCCCCTGAGGTGTCGGCCTGCCCCTCTGGCTCTGCCCATCCCTGGCCCGATGCTAGGAGGCAGGCTCTCAGGTCCCGCCTGAGCCTCCTGCCGGGATCAGCGTTTTGTCTGAGCCCCGTGTGGTCGGCCTGCATAGACGTGGAGATGTGCGGGGGCCCAAAGCCTGCCTCCAGCTTCCAGTGCCTCAGTGTCCCCACCACAATGGGCTTGCTGACTCCCGATTGCCCTGGGCCCAGGGACAGGCCTGGGGGAAGGGCTGTGCTCACTCAGAAGGGCTGTGACCCCCGAGCCCTGAGAGGGGACTGCCACTCGCAGGCCATCAGGCCTCTTCCTGCTCCCCAGCCTGACCTGGGGCCTCAGGATACCTGTGGGGACCCGGATGCCAATGGCTCCGGACAGACAGGCGGAGGGGGCGCAGGCGACTTCGTGAGCGCCCCCGGAGCCCAGGGTGGGGCACAGGGTGGCGGGGCAGCGTGAGTCAGGCGGGCCTGCCACCCCCAGCGCAGCTCCCCTAAATTACTAGGTCTGCGCGCACCGGGGAGCCGGCCCTCAGCCCTATAAAGGTCCGGGTGGCGGCAGCTGCCCAGACCCCGCCGGCAGCTGCCCCGCGATGAGGCCACTCCTGCTGTCTCTGCTCCTGGCTACTCTGTGCGCTGACCTGGGTAAGGGCTGCTGACCCAGGTGCGACGGACGGGGTCAGACGGGGACAGACAGGTGCTTGGCGGCCTGGTCCCCAACCGAGGAGTCTGCGGGGAGCTGCAGGGAGCGAGGGGAACCCCACGTGGCTGCTCCTCCACCAGCCCAACCGCACACCTTTGTGTCTCCGTGGGCACAGTTTCCAGTCTGGCTGCCTCTCGTGAGGTGAAAGACCCTGGGGAGGGGGCCCGAGTCTCCAGAGCCCTGGGCTGGCACTGGGACTGGCTAGTAGCCAAGTGACTGCTGTCCTGTGTCCCTGACATTCCCGGGGGACAGAGTTCAGGCGCCCAAAGCAGGAAAATGGGTTGGTCACTCCCTTGCAGCCCCAGCTCTGCCTCCACTGATGACTTACTTGTGTGACCTTAAAAAGCACCTGCTGCTTTTGGGGCTACCGGAAATGGGGCCTGGGGAGGGGGTGATGCAGCCCGTGATTATATGCTAATTACCGTCCAGGGATAATAGCCCCACAGCGTCCACTGAGTGGAGGTGGGGGAGGTGGGGCCTCCAGCCCTCAGGGACCAGACCCAGCCTGGGGGAGGCTAGAAACAGGGAGGGGACGCTTGGGCGGGCTCTGGGGACAGGGCAGGGGACCAGGCGCTGGTCAGAAGAGAGGCCAGCACAGAGGCGAGGAGCGGCCGCCGGGGAGGCCCACTGAGGCTCTGCTCAGGCCCCCCCAGCCCGCGGGACTGCTCCAGTCCCAGAGGGGAAGCCGAGACCCTATGAGGTTCTTGTTCAGAGGAGCTTAGGACCCAATCCCAACAGCACCCAGGGCCGTAGGAACGATGGCTGGGGGTTCGCCCAGACAGACAGGCCTCTTCTTCTTGGAGGGTTCCAGAACCCTAACCTGGGAAGCTGGCCTCGGAGCCCAGGTTCTGAGCCTGACTTGATTGCCTGGACCCCACCCCCGGGTGCCGGCTCTGAACATGGGCGCCGCCTTGCCCCAGCACACCGAAGGCCCCCCAGACTCGGGGCAGAGGTGCCCTTTCTGGCAACACAGCCTCTCCGTCCTGGGCAAGGCTCCTGGCCTTCCCCCTACCCGACTGCCCCGTCACAGCTCCAGGGACACCCATTCCAGGAAGCCTTCCCAGATGGAGCCCAAGCTCTGTCTGAGCTAGGAGTCCCACAAAGTGTCTATTGTACCTTCTCCTCCATCCCACTCAGGCATGTACCTCGCTTGGCCACCCCCGGGCGCCCGAGGGCCTCCTTGCTGTCGGGAACTGGGGCCACTCACACCGCACGTGGGGTCGGGCCAGGGCCCTTTGCTGTCGCCTCCGCCCTGATGGGTCCAGGCTGGGGTCGCTGGCAGGTCCCAGGCAGCGACAGGCAGTAAGGAAACAGCCGGGAGCGTCCACGGGAGGCCCAGCTGTGCTCTGTCCGGGTAGCAGACCGGGCCGGGAGCCGAGTGCGTGCGCTCTGTCCCATCTTACAGGGAGGACTCTGTTCCTCGGAGAGGGGCAGGGACCCTGAAACGCAGAGTCCACATGCCTGAGTTAACTGTCCTCGTGTCACCCCAGGCCGCCCACCTCTGTCCCAGGGCGACCTGCAGGCACCCCGGCCACAGCCCGCACCCTCACTCCCGCGGAGCAGCCCTGGTCGGTGTGGGGCACCTGGGTCACCGCCCCTGAGTCCAGCCCCACCCGAGGGGACCAGGAGCATCTTTGGACGGTGGGTGGGAGGAAAGCGAGGCTCAGGGAAGGCCAACTGGGCAGTGGCCGTGCGGCAGGCAGCCGGGCCCAGGCCCCAGGTCCCCCCCTCCGCCGCCCCCCAGGGTCCAGACTGACTGGGGCCTGTGCTTTCCCCCCAGCCCGGGCCCTGCACTGCCATGTGTGCTGTGGCCACAAGGACTGCGAGTCTCTGGTGGAGTGCGCCCCAACTGACAACTACTGTGTGATCACGCAGGCCAGTGAGTACCCCGTGCCCACCCCACGGCCCAGCCAGGGGCCCACCTGGGGCCCCATGCACCCTGGCCCACCCTGGCCCTCCATGGGAGCTGGAGGTGGCAGGGACGGACCGTCCCACTCTGACCCTCCCCCGGGTTGGTGGCGGGTGGGGTAGGAGCAGCTGTGCCAGCAGCCCTGCAACTACCCCGTCAGTCAGGCCGTATGCGGCCTTCCAGCTTGAGTTAGTGAGAGGGAGTCCGGGTATGAGACGCGGGAGTGGGGAGCAGGCCGACAAGGGAGTTGGCAAGGCGAGGCCTGGAGGGAGGCTGGTGCCTGGAGACCCGGTGGGGACAGCCCTGCAGGACCGCCCGGGGATAGCAGAGAGCACCGTGGGGACCCGCAGCCCCCGCCCCAGGTGCCTCTCCCCTGCCACCCCTGGAGCCCGCCTCCTCCATCCGCCGGCTGCCTGGGCCTCAGAGGTCACATGGCGGGAGTCTGAGCGGGACAGGGCTGCCGCACTGCGGTGACCCCGAGGAGCGGGAAGCCTTTTGGGTCTCAGAGGGCTGGACAGGGCAGTGGGGAGGCTGGCCTGCAGGGACAGCAGGCACAGGTGGGGCCTCGAAGTGATGGGAGCTGCAAGCCCCTTGCCCCCGGGAGAGGTGGAGGCGCCACAGGACGCGGGTGGGTCAGCGCGGACAGCGGCGTGTGGTCCCGGAGGCCCGGCAGGCAGCAGCATGTGCTCCCCGTTGCCGTCCATGGTGTCCTGTGTGTGGCCATCCCGCAGCACCCGCAGACGCCCGGCAGGGCAGCCAGGCCGCCCCTCCGGGCCCCAGCTCCCTAGAGATCCGCGGCTTTCCTGAAAGGGACACAGCCCCCTGATGACGAGGACACATGGCGTCCGGCCTGGGTCACAGCTGGACCTCGCCCCCTGCTTGGCCCGGGGCCCCTGTGAGGAAGCAGCACAAGGCCCTCAAGGCCCCGCGGGACCCTCCCCCGTCAGGTCGAGGAGGACCCTACCCAAGGACGTGCCACTTTCTCAGGGGCGAGGGGACACTGCCCCACTTCTGGCCAAGCCCTGGGCGTGGGGGGCCACAGCCAGGCTGCGCTCCTTTCCGTCACCCGGCCGACAGCCCCGAGCCCCTGGGGGCGCTGTGGGCTGGGGGCCTGGCACACAGCGGGACCCATGGCTTCTTGGCCTCGGGCGGTGTGGGGGGAGGGGTGGGGACAAGAGGCCCCTGCTGGTGTGAGTCGGGCACAGGCAGCGGCAGGATACTCACGCCCACCTGCTCCCTGCATCACCGGGGCGCCTCCAGCAGGTTGCAGGGATGGCAGGTGGCAGGTGGCAGGGGATCCTGGCTCCCTGCTGGCGATCCTGGGGGAGGGGGAGGGGGGAGGACTGCACAGTTGTCCTTGTGCCAAAGCGACAAGCGGGTCTTTCCCGAAGCAAAGACAAATGTCCCGCTGTGCGCAGGCCCCGTGGGTGCGCCCTGTGACCCCACCGTCCCGCCATGCAGCCTAATACTCCATTTCTCAAGAGCACGGTGGGGCAGGAGGCGGCCACATGGGGTCAGGGTCCCCGGGCACTGGCTCCTCGGGGGGCACCCGCCCCATCCCGTTCTACTTGCAGATACACGCTCCTGATTCCGGTAACCGAGCGTGGTCCTCATCACCTTCCTGTTTAACTGAGAAATGTTCTGGGCCTTGCGGCGTCCTGCTCGGGCCGGGGCTCAGGAGGGGGACTGTGCAGGGCGGCTTCCCGAGGGCTGGGCCTGCCGCCAACCCCGAGGCCCGAGGCCGGGCCCCAACACCCTCCTTGTCCTGCCGCAGGGCATCTGTCCCTCCGCTTTGGCCGAGTCAGGGCTCCGACTCCTGGCGCTACCCCCTCCACCCCCCCCCGGCCCTGACGCCGCTGCTCGCTATCCGCCGCCAGGAGCACATAGTCCACAGGCTCCGGTGTCACGTGGGAACTTAGCTGATCCCCAAACAATCTCGGAGTCCTCTGAGTTCTCTTGTCCTCCATCTCCCGGATGAGGAAACCGGGCCAGAGAGATCGGCCCAGGGAAGCACCCTGGTTCCCAGGGCGCCACTGGCCGGTGCTTCGGGAGCCCTGTGCACAGCTGCCCCCGGGGCGGGGGAGCCCGGCCAGCGGGTCCCACGGGTAGAGGTGTCCTGCCCCCGGGGCCTCTCCCAGCGGCCTCCTCAGGCACTTTCTGCACCCCCCACCCCGTCCCGGCCTCCCCCGCCCACCATTCCCCAAGGCCTCTCAGTCCTGGATCAGGTGGGTGCGGGTGGGGCCGGGCCCCCCCTCCAGATCCCGAAAGTCAGATGTAGGAAGGAGCCCAGGCATCTGTGGGGGGTGTGGGGATCACCGAGTCCCACAGGGACCTGGCGTGAGGGTGAGACGGGGCTCTCCAGACCCACGGGCCCCACGGAAGGAGCCCCCAACCTCAGAAGGCTCTTTGGGGCACTCACATTGGTGCCCCAGGAGCCCTGGAAGGGCCCAGGCCGTGGGCCTGCCTCCCCGAGGGCTGGCTGCGTGGGGGTGCATGGAGCAGCCACCCATGGGCCTTCGCCCCTCTCTCCACAGCGAACCCCGGTGGCATCCTGGTCATGAAGTCCTGCGCCCCCGTGTGCCCCAACAGCACCATGTCCTCGGACGGCCGCACCCTCTCCGTCTCCTGCTGCCAGGGCAGCCAGTGTAACCGTGCGGCCGGGGGCCTGGCGGCCAGTCCCGGAACCCTGTGGCTCGGTGCCTGGGCCAGCCTGCTGGGGCCGCTGCTCCGGGTGGCCTGGTGAGCCCGCCCCCGACAGTCTTTCCCAGGCACCCGGCCACCTGCCCACCCGCAAGGACAGTCCCCGGCTCCCCTGCTGCGCCTCCCCCTACCCCGGGATACACCCAGCCCCGTCCTGGGGCTCCTACCCTCCTGCAGGGAACCCACCTCCAAGGGACCCTCTGCCCTCTCCTGGGGTCCTGGCCATGCGGGAGTGGGCAGGGCACCTCCATCCTCCCTGGCGCCCTCTGCCTCATTTCAGGGGCTTCCCCTGGGGGCTCGTCCCCCAGCTGCCCTGTGCACGGAGTGGGGAGGAGCAGGGGTCTGGGCGTCCCCTGCTCCGGCCACCGCTGGCCTCCCACCTGCATCCGCCCGCCCTCCCCTTCCACCCCTGACTCACATCTCGGTGGGCACACTCGCTCCTCATGAACCTCCCGGGCCTCCTGCCAGGCCCCCCAGGCGGTCCTTCAGGGGCTCCCCTCACTGCCCACTGCCCGACTGGAGACGGGGTGAGGGGCCCCGCCAGGTGAAGCAGGCTCGTTCACGATCCCCTGGCTGCCCGTTGTGGGGGCCAGTCCGAGTCGGGTGTCTGTTCTCACCGGGCATGGGGGGCCGCCCACCTCCCCCAGAGGCTCCTGTGACAAGCCCACCCCCAGGACAGCTCGTAAGAGCAGAATAAAGCTGCACATCCTGTCCTGTCCCCATTCTCTGAGGCGTTGAATCTGGGGGTCCCTCTGTACCCCTGATGCAGGAGAGGGGCACCTTTCGGGGGCTGGGAGCATTCTGCAGGCATGAACTCAGAGAGGAAAAAGCACACTCCCCTCGGACCCAAGAAGCCAGCACCCACTCCCACCCGCTTGGCCTTGGGGTCGCAGGGGTCCCCCAGCAACCGTGGTCAGCCCTGCACTATGTCCCGCAGCCCCCACCATCCCACACCCCGGTCAGGGCCCAGCCAGGTCCCCAGGGCTGTCAGCTGGCCAGGCCAGGGCCTCCAGCGCCCCTCCCTCCCTGCTGCACAGGGCCTCTCCTTGGGCCCCCGACGGGGCCTCCTGTTCCTCGCCTTTCCCTCCCCCCACATCAGTGACCCTCGCGTCCCCCCAGGGGCTGAGGGCCGACGTCATGCCTGCCTGGCAGAGCTAGGCCCCCGCCACCCGAGTGCCAAGGCCGTGGGGCTCGTGATGGCGGGTGCTGCCCTAGCTGGGCGTGGGCCTCGTTCTGGGAGCCCAGCGGCAGATGTGCGGCTCCCATGCCAGCCTCCCCGCCGTCCTCTCTCAGCCTCCGCCCTCCCACACCCAGACGCATGCTCATGTCTGTTCCCGCGGCCACCCTCTGGCCTTGCAGAGCCACTGCCCCCCATTGCCTGTGAGCCCAGTCTGCTGGGGTCCCCCGTGCCCGTGACAGTCCTGTGGCGGCCGCGGCCCTTCCGTCGGGGAGCACAGTGCTCCGAGGGCGGGCGGGGAGGCAGGCGGGTGGAGGACGCCCGCCCTCCTGCAGGGTTTCTGCGGCTCTGTGCATCCTGGAAGGCAGGGTGGCCGAGCGGGGCCTGCCTTGAAACAAGGAGTGTCAGCGTCCCCTCCGAGCCTCCAATACGATTTCCCTTGGTGGCTGGGCCTCCAGGAGGAGGCGGGCATGGAGCCCATGTGAAGTGGTGGCCTCGGGAGCCAACCTGGGGCCCGGGGTTGGACCACTCCACACAGCCTTGGAAGGCTGGGTTTCTCTTCTTGAGGATGGAAATTCCCTCTCTTGACTCCTGTCTGACCAGCCTTCCCTCTAGGGCAGGTCCCACCCATACAAGTCCCAACGGAAAACCCCACTGGGTGCCACATGATGACCCATGGCCTCCTCCTCCAAGAGCTTCTGCTTTCAGAAGTCGGGGTGGTGCCAAGAGAGGCTTCCATGCGAGGACACTCGTTTCCTTGCTACACAGGACACTGAGGCACAAAAGCCTTTCAGACTGAATTCCGGGCTGGCAGAGTGGTCTGCCCCAGAGCCCGAGTCCTCTCCGCCTCCAGCCCTGCCCCGGCCTGCAACACGGTCTCCAAGTCAGTAGACACTCAGAGCGCCTGCTGCATACCTGGACCAGAACAGACACGGGCGGCAGCCAGCAAGGCCTTGCCAGGGCTGTGGGGGAGGGTGGGGAGTTGCAGGGGTTGCCGGCCGCTCAGAAGGGGAGGTGACAGCTGCGATCCCGACCCTGGGAAGCCCGTGCGGACGACAGGTACAAAGGTCCGGAGTTGAGAAAGGGCTGGAGGGCCTGCGAGGAGGCCACGCAGTGGGAACACAGGGTGGGCCGCAGGTGCGTCAGCTGAGCAAGGAAGCTGGGCTGGGGACAGAGCAGGATGCTCAGGGAGGAGCGTGTGGGGTGGCGTGGGTGTGGGGCCACAGCCGAGGACTCAGACCTTGACCTGTGACTCCTGAAGTGGCTGAGGGCACAGGCAGGAAGGCAGGGCGGCCGCTGGAGCTCAGAGAGCTTGGCCGACGTGCAGAGAGCAGCATGGCAGTGGCCAGCCTAGCGGCCTTTGTCCTGGCTGTGTGCCCTGGGGTCACAGTTGGAGCTGGCTCCCCGGCCTGCGTTCAGCTCTGGGGGTTCCTGGCCCTCCCCGCAGCATCTCCTGCTCCCCGAGGAGCAGCCCTTCTCTGTTCTTACATAATATTCTCAGGGTGAGGTGGCACAAGCCCCTTGATCCCCTAAGCTCTTTAGGCAAAGTAATGAGCTCCCTGCCAGGCCCAGCCTGGGACCCACTCCCTGCCCTGGGGAGCCTGTCCCCACCCCACACCCAGAGCAGGTTGCAACAGCATGCAAACCCCCCTGGACCAGCGCTGGGTGCCAACGCCGGGCCCCTGGGGCCACCTGGCTAAGCAGGGTGTGGCTGAGCTGGGCTGGCCCAGATTCAAAGCTCAGCAGCTGCCTGAGGCCCAGAAGAGCAGAGGCTGGGTCTGCTCAGCGTCTAGGCCATGCGAGGACAAGGAGCCGTTCGCCCCAGGACACCTGGCCGATGCAGACTCAGCCCGCCAACTCTCACCATCCTGTAGCCTGACAAGTGCCCGGAACCCCATCTATCAAATGCGGGGTTGGAAAGAGGCCAAAATCCGGGCCTCACTGCGAGATCGGAGCCCTCCCCTCCTGCAGACAGTAGTCCCCACCTGAGAACTTTACCAGCTGTTTCCAAAACATCTTTTTTAAAAAATCCAATTGTCCTGGCGGTGTTTTAGTGGGGCTTAAAGAGTGTCAGGACCCAAAAAGGGGCCATTTCCTGTTCCCAAGGATAAGGGACAAATGAGAGGGTTGGGGATTCTCAAGGAAAGGGATCTGCACTGCTCCGTGTAAGAGGTACTAGTGGATAGAAACGGACAGACAGACCAACAGGGCACACGATGTATGTAAGATATTAATTCCCCTCTTAAGCATTAGGATCAATGATGTCCTCTCAAAGCCACCCCTAACTTATTATACAATCTTAAGTAAAAATAGCGTGTCTTGGGACGCCTAGGAGGTTCAGTGGGTGAGCATCTGCCTTCAGCTCAGGGTGTGATCCTGGAGTCCCGGGATCGAGTCCCACATGGAGCCCGCTTCTCCCTCTGCCTCTCTCTCTCTCTCTCCTCTCTCTCTCTCTGTCTCTCTCTCTGTGTCTCTCATGAATAAATAGGATCTTACAAAAAAGAAAGAGCACGTCTGCACGTTGGGTGTCACAAGTCCCAGTGCTGCTCGCCAACCACTTGCAGACCTAAGGCTCTCTGAGCCCACCCTGGGTTTCACTCCACAGTTTGAGAATCGCTGTGTTCTCTTCTCACATTTGTGCATGTCAGTGAGAAAGGGAAGAGGGGACAGGAGAGAGAGACATCATGGTAACTATTTCCTACAGGACACATACGTTGTGTGAATGGATGAGTGGATGGATGGACGGAATAATGGATAAATAGATGAATGATAGATGGGTGGGTACAGGGCTGGCTGGCTGTGGGTGGGTGGTGGATGGATGATGGTTGGATGGATGGTGGATGGGTGGATGGACTAGTAACTGATGGATGGGTAAATTACGTAGGTGTAGGTGTTCACTACTCTGGAACTTACACCTGATGCCATCATAGAGCTCAAGGGCTTAGACACACAAGCTCAGGCTACAGCAGGAGGAGCAGTGAGCAGTGACACAGCAGAAGCGAGAACCTCGGATAGAACATGAGCACAGGGACACCTGGGGGGCTCAGTAGCTGAGGGTCTGCCTTTAGCCCAGGGCGTGACCCCGGGGTTTCGGAATCAAGTCCCATGTCGGGGCCCCCACAGGGCTCCTGCTTCTCCCTATGCCTGTGTCTCTGCCTCTCTCTCTGTGTCTCTCGTGAATAAATAAATAAAATATTAAAGAAAAAAAGACCATGAGCAGCACTAACACTCTGTCTAGACCCCAGAGGGAGCTTTCCTCACATGGAGAGAATAAACCCCCACAGGGTACCCAGTTCTCGGGTTCTCTGGGCCCTGCAGTTCTGGAGTTCCATGCTCTGCAAGCCCACACTGCTAAGAGCCTGCTCTCTTGGACCTCCAAGATCCCCAAGGCTGCTGTGGCTCTGTGGCTCCGTGCCCACGCCCTCCACTTCATGAAGGGACACAGCTTCTCCTCCATCACCAGGTCCCCTGAATCCCGGTGCCTCTCAGGGATGCAGCCAGGGAAACTGATATGCAGGGCCCACGCCAGACCTCTGCTGGTGCTGGGTGCTGGTGCTGATGTTAGGTGCTGTGTTGGTGCTGGTGCTAGGTGTTGGTGTTGGTGCTAGGTGTTGGTGCTAGGTGCTGGTACTGGTGTTGGTGTTAGGTGCTGGTGCTGGAGCTAGGTACTGGTGCTAGGTGCTAGGTCCTGGTGCTAGGTGTTGGTGTTAGGTGCTGGTGCTAGGTGCTGGTACTGGTGTTGGTGCTAGGTGCCGGTGCCAGTGCTGGTGCTGGTGCTAGGTGTTGGTGTTAAGTGCTGGTGCTGGTGCTAGGTCCTGGTGCTAGGTGTTGGTGTTAGGTGCTGGTGCTAGGTGTTGGTGCTGGTGCTAGGTGCTGGTGCTGAAGCTAGGTGCTAGGTCCTGGTGCTAGGTGTTGGTGCTAGGTGCTGGTAGGGGCAAAGATCCTGTGGGGCCTCTCTCGGGGGGTTGCCTGCCAGGCCTGAGAACTGGCTGGCGCTCCTGGCCTTCAGGAGTCTCAGGCTCCAGTCCAGCCGTTCCCGGGGATCAGGCTATGCCCAAGGCAGGGCAGGGCTGCCCGTGTGCTGCTCCCTGGATTTGCACTCAGGCAGAGCAGGGGAGGAGGCCCCGCACTGGCCGCCAGGGTTCCAGGGGATGATCTAGGACAGGTGCAGGCCCTGGGAAGCAGGCGAAAGACACCCAGGTCTAGGCCTATGGTCCTGTGTGCAAAGATGAGTGTCCTGCACTGGAGGGGGGTAGGGAGGTTGGGCACGGGGGAAGCGCCCCGGGCCAGCTGGGGACAGAGTTGGGGAGGAGGGCAGGCCCCACTCTGGTTCCCACCGGCTGGCTGGGTGATCCTCTGTGTCATCGGAGGGAGGCCCTGGCTGTGTGTGCAGGTTCGTGAACGGAGGGGCAGAGCAAGCCTGACTCATGGGGTGCTCACCTCAGCTCTGCTGGGGAAGGAGGGGTCTGCCCCGCCCAAGCCCCTCCGCACCCAGACCCAGGCCCGACCCCCTTGTCCTTGCCCCCACCCCTCGGCCTCCTTGATCATCCCATCACATGGGGCCCGCCGGCCTGGGCCCCACATCCCCAGCTCATCAGGGGTCTTGGGGGCGGCCTGCCTTTCTGGTCCGGCTCCGTCCCACCCTGAGCGTGGTCCGTCTGTGGTGGGCGCCGCTAAGTGAGCCAGCGAGCGGGCAGGTGTCGAGCCCCCGCGTGTGGGTGGCCAACACTCACCCTTGATGCTGAAAGTGAAGAAGTCTTGTCTGCAAGCCCCAGGGTTTGGGGGATGCCTCGGGCGGAGCCCGCCTTGCCCGTCCTGGTGCACACCCTCACCCACAGCGGGGCCGGGCCCACGCCGCTCAGGCTGCATTTTCGGGTCTGGAGTGGCCACTGTCTGCACTGACCCCGGCGCTTCCCTCTCTGGGCCACTCGTCCCCTTTGTGTGACCCCAGTGACCCCACAGCCGAGGGGTCCAGGCCTCGATTCCTGCATCGCCCCCCCCCAAGGCTGAGACCCTGGGGAGAGGTGGGGAGGTGGGAAGGCAGGGCGGGGCTGGGGGGCAGGGAAGCACGGCGGGTGGTGGCAGCGGTCTGGGCTTGTCCCTGCGCCTGGCTTCCTGGCCCTCCGAGTTCGGGAAGCAGACAGGGTGCAGGGTGGGGGTGCCCGTCCTCCCTGCCCCCAGCCCGGGGCCGAGTTCTGCGGGCTCCAGGGACTGGGTGAGAGGACTTGGGTTCTGGAGAGTGGCGGCTTTCTCCAGAGGAGGAGGGAGGACAGGAGAGGCCATGCGGCACAGAAGCGTCTGTCTGGCTCCACCTCACTCCCGGGGTGACGTGGGTGGCGCCGGCAGGGCCCCCTTGGGACTCATTTCCTTCCCAGTAAAAGGATGTGGGAAGGGGTTCAACCTGAGAGGCCACGATAGCTACTCTGTCCCCTGACATCTGCCTCCAAGGTCGGGGCAACCAGGTCACTCCCTGCAGGAAACCCTCCCTGCCTGCAGCCTTCCCAGGACTCCTGCTTCTCGAGAGCTCCTGCGTAGCAATTGCCCACTTTCTCCCCAAGTCAACTGCGGGGGGGCTGCCATTGATGGTTCTGCTAGGAAGCCCCGGGACACGCAGCTCGCAGCTGATGGGCAGCCCGCGCCCTCGCTGGCAGTCCCGTCAGAGGCCCAGGCTTGCTTCCTGCGGAGCCAGGAGCCAGCCGCCCCCTCTGCCTCGGGCGGTGCAGGTGCGTGGGCAGTGAAGCCTGCGGTGGCCGCGGGGACGGGCCGGGTGTGCAGGGGGTCTTCCCAGCAGCCTCACGTCGGAACGTCCAGCCCCGGTAGGCCTAACACCCCTGGACCCCTTAGCTCTACCAGGCCCTACAGGAAATCCAATCCCCCAAACCTGTTTTTCTAGTAGCTTCCATGCCCCTTGGCCTCAGTGAGTCACCCCTCCCCACCTACCATCCCCCACCCCATGCCAGTCACCGCCCCGTCACTGAGCCCTATGTCCTGCATCCGCTGTCCACCTGCCCGCCAAGGGCTGTGCCCAAGGAATTTGAGAAGGCCTCAGAGCTTCGAGGGAGGGCGCGGGGTCCCTGCCTTGTCAAGAGAGACCCCAGCTACCCTAACTAAGGCCCAGGGAGCCGGGGACCAGCCCGTGAGACGGGTTCATGATGCTGACATGGGGCTGCCTCGGGGGCTGCTACTTGCGCCCCTCCCTGCCCACCCCCGGGTCCTAGGAGAAACACCACACCACCCCTCCACTGACGGCCTGGGCCTACCAGGTCCAGTAGCATCTCTAGGGAGAGTGGCACCTGCCCGGACCCTGCACCGTGACACGGCCCACCTCACCCACTCAGGGGCCGGCCTGTCCAGGCCCCCCTGGTGGGGGAAGGGCCAAGGCTCCCCGATCTCCCCGGCCTGAGGCTGTGGTGCTCCCGAGAGCTGTGGGCTGGCCCTGGCCCTGCCCTCCCTCCAGCCCAGGCCGCCCTCCCTGCAACAGGCCCTGCCCCTACAGGACTTGCAGGGCTGGGGGCTCTGCGCTCTGGCCCTACTCACCGTGGCGGTCAGTGAGCCTGGTGGGGTGGGGCAGGGGAGGGGCCGGGGCAGGGGCAGGGGCAGGGGCAGGGGCAGGGGCAGGGGCAGGGGCAGGATCAGGGCAGAGGCAGGGGCAGGGGCTGGGGCAGGGGCAGGGGCAGGGCCCTGGGCAGGGGCCGGGGCAGGGGCTGGGGCAAGGACAGGGGCTGGGGCTGGGGCAGGGCAGGGGCCGGGGCAGGGGCAGGGGCAGGGGCAGGAGCTGGGGCAGGGGCAGGGGCAGGGCAGAGGCCGGCCTCTGTGGGGTCCAGCCACATGGCCCAGCAGGGTCCGCGGGGCACAGCAGAGCAGCAGTGGGGGCCCAGGGCCAGCAAGCCAACAGGGAAGGGAGCGCCCCGCCCCTCCAGCGATGCCCCTGGTCCGGCGCTCACCTTTCTGCAGGCACGTCCAGCAGCCACACGCCTGGCCTGCTGCCTACCCCGCTCCAGGATGGTCTCTCCCTCCCCTGACTACGCTGAGGTCCCGACATCTCAGCAAGATGCCTTGATCCCGAAGGGGTCCTACCCCAGGGCTCCAAGGGGGGGACCTAGCAATCCTGAGCCCCAAGCCCAGGAAGGCAGGGCCAGGGCCTACTCCCGCCTCCCTAGCCCCGTGGGCACAGCTCTGGGCGCCCACAGGGCACCTGCGTGGGCTTGAGACTCTTATCTGAGGGTGAGAGGGGAAGGTCGGAGACAAAGTGATCTAGGGCCGGACAGACAGCCAGAGAGAGAGGACGATGAGGCAGCGAGCACAGAGCCAGTGAGGCCTCTGTCCACAGCCCGGAGATGGGGGAGGGCAGACCCCTGCCTCGGGGGGCGGGTAGCCGGGCACCCAGGTCCCCCCAGGTGGCAGGGGCAGGGGCAGCCGTGCACTGGGTGGTGGGTGTGGGCCAGCCAGGGTGGGGCGCGTGGAATGCCGCTGCCTGGCTGGCTGCCCACCTCCACCCCTCCCACCAGCTCCTGCCCCAGCTATAAGGCCTCCAGAGAGGAGGGGCCCCCACTGCTCCCAGAGACGTCCCAAGATGAAGACGGCCCTGCTGCTCCTCGTTGCACTGGCTGTGGCCGCCGGGCCAGGTGGGTGAGGGCCCGGGGAGGGGTGGGCAGCGTGGACATGTACGGAGGCCTGGGGTACCGGCCTTCAGGCTCAGGGTATCCCGGACTCAGGGGATGCCACACTCAGAATTTGAAACAAAATGAACCACATCTTAACTTAGTGGAATCAGACTTAAAGTATCGCAGAACCAGGGAGTCTTAGACTTGGTCTCTGGATCAGACATGCAGAGGGGGAGAGGGAGGCAGGGAGCGGCTTGAGATGCCCCCACCCAGGAGAGCCAGCGCCCAGGTAATCCAGCCCTGACTCTCTGTCCCCGGGGAAGCCCCTCCTCCCGGGAGTGCAGTGTGGTCAAGCTGAGGCCCCCGGCCCTGACTTAGCCTCAGGTCCTGACTATCGCTGCCCGGTGGGGACAGGCTCTGGGGAGGGGGACAGTAGTCCTGGGCTGCGAACTGCTCTGTGCAAGTCTCAGAGCTCTGTGATGCCCTGAGGGGGCCCCCAGCGTACCCCACATCAGCCACCTTCCCACCAGTTCTCTAGACGCACAGGCACCTCCTCGAGGCAGGAGGGGCCCCAGGGTCCCAGCAGCCGAGGACTGTCCCCTCCTGACTCCCGAGGCTGAGTGCAGGACAGGAACCCCGGCAGGACCTGGGGCTCCGAGGCTCCCAGCCTCGGGGTGGGTGGGGTGGCAGAGGGCCCTGTCCAGACTGTGACCCCAGACCTCCCTGCACCCGCCGTCCCCCAGCCCGGGCTCTCCGCTGTCACGTCTGCTCCAGCTCTAGCAACTGCGAGAAACCCCAGAACTGTGCAGCCAACGCGCGCTACTGCAGGACCAGGACCAAGGGTGAGCGATGGGACCCGGGCGGGAAGGGGGCCTGCGGGACCCCCCACGGCTCTGTCCAGGTGCTGCTGGGGACAGGGCGCCACGGCTGGATGATTGGCGGGAGGACCAATGGGTCGGGGATGGGTGGCTCTCGGCGGTGATGGGGGCCGGGAACCGGGACTTGGGGTACGGGGTACGGGGTCCTGACGGGGCCCGTCCGTCCCCAGTGGAGCCGCTGCTGGGGAACCTGGTGGAGAAGGACTGCGTGGAGGCGTGCACGCCCACCCACAGCCTGCAGGGCCAGGTGAGCAGTGGCGCGGCGGCCACGCAGTGCTGCCAGGACGACTTGTGCAACAGGAGTCTGCAAAGCAGTGCCCCCGCACACATCCTGCTCCCCAGCACCGCCCTCGGCCTGGCGCTGGCCCTCAGCCTGCTGACCCACTTTGTGGCCTCCAGCCTGTGATCCCCCGGGAGAGGCCCCCATCCCTTTCCGGGGTCCTCCGCATGCCCCGCCCAGGAGAGGCCCCGCCACGTGGTGAGGGGAGGTTCTGATGGATGTCTGGGTGGGGGCCAGCAGGGGAGCTGGTGACCCCGAGCCCCTCCCCCGAGACAAGAGGAACCACTTCCCTGAGCAGCAGGAGGGGGCACAGGAAGCATTCGGGCCTCTGCCGATTCCGCCTTCACTCTGCTTGGTTTCCATTTATTTTTCTACTTGAACCTCCGCATAGGAATAAATGACTCAAAACCAGCGTGGCTGTGTCTGTGCTTCTCCGGGGTGCAGGGAGGGGGGACACGCGGCCACATAGGCCCCCAGGTCCTGGAGCTTGTCACCTGGGGCCAGTCTTGGCATCGTGTGTGACCCCTGAAATGCCACCGTCCCTCTTCACCTTCAGAGGAGACACAACAGTCCCCGCAGCCGCGGAGCAGCGGGAGGCTCCTGGGACGCCTGCTGGGAGCCCAGGGCAGAAGGCTCGGGTGCTCCTTCTGCGCCCAGCCCGGAGGGTCAGGGACACACATGCCACCTCCGCCAGGGACGTCGGCCTCAGGGCTGCTGAGCCACCTGGACAGGAGGGAAACATTCCTTGGCTCAACTGCCTGGGTTCTGGGTCCCTGCCTGGGTTCTGGGCCCTTGCCTGGGTTCTGGGTCTGCTGCCTGGGTTCTGGGCCCTTGCCTGGGTTCTGGGTCTGCTGCCTAGGTTCTGGGTTCACTGCCTGGGTTCTGGGCCCGCTGCCTAGGTTCTGTGTCCCTGCCTGGGTTCTGGGTCCCTGCCCGGGTTCTGGGCCACCTGCCTGGGTTCTGGGTCCCCTGCCTGGATTCTGGACCCTTGCCCAGGTTCTGGGTCCGCTGCCTGGGTTCTGGGCCCACTGCCTAGGTTCTGGGTCCCTGCCTGGGGTCTGGATCTGCTGACTGGGTTCTGGGTCCCTGCCTGGGTTCTGGGCCCTTGCCCGGGTTCTGGGTCCACTGCCTGGGTTCTGGGCCCGCTGCCTAGGTTCTGGGCCCCTGCCCGGTTTCTGAGTCTGCTGCCTGGGTTCTGGTCCCTGCCTGGGTTCTGGGCCCCCTGCCTGGGTTCTGGGTCTGCTGCCTGGGTTCTGGGTCCCTGCCTGGGTTTTGAGTCCCTGCCTGGGTTTTGGGCTCCTGCCTGGGTTCTGGGTCTGCTGCCTGGGTTCTGGGTCCCTGCCTGGGTTCTGGGTCCCTGCCCGGGTTTTGGGCTCCTGCCTGGGTTCTGGGCCCTTGCCCGGGTTCTGGGTCCTTGCCTGGGTTCTGGGCCCCTGCCTGGGTTCTCTGTACCCTTCCTGGGTTCGGGCCCCTTGCCTGGGTTCTGGGTCCCTGCCCGGGTTCTGGGCCTGTTGCCTAGGTTCTGGGCCCCTGCCCGGGTTCTGGGTCCGCTGCCTGGGTTCTGGGCCCCCTGCCTGGGTTTGGTTCTCTGCTTGGGTTCTGGGCCCACTGCCCGGGTTCTGGGTCCACTGCCTGGGTCCTGGCCCGCTGCCTGGGTTCTGGGCCCCTGCCCGGGTTCTGGGCCCGCTGCCTGGGTTCTGGGCAATTGGAATCATTGTGTCTGTGAGTGTCCAGCACCCAATCGATGCCAGACAAGGAGCCTTCCCCGCTCCTTGGAGGACCAGAGGCTCCTGGGGGCTCACTCCTCCTCTGGGGCAGTCATGGCACTCTCAGGCCTCACGGTGGGTCGGACAGAGACCCAACTCAAGGGCCGGCAAGGAGGCGCCCCGGCTGGTGCTTGGCTGAGGGGTGGTAGAGATGGGAGGCCCAGCCAGGAGCAGGAGGAGCTGGACCCCATATGGTCTGAGGACTCTGGTGAAAGGGAGGAGCTGCCTCCAGAGCTGCCTGGCACCAGGGCCCGGCCTGCGCACCCTCCTGGCAGCCCTGCGCAGGGCGCCCCCGTCTGACACACCTGTGACCCGGGTGGCTCCCCCCCCCCACTCCCCTCAATCTTTCCCCACAGCTTTTCACCATCTAACATACTCTGGTCTTAGTTTCATCAAGGGACACTCGAGGTACAATAAACTGTATGCACCTAAAGGGCACGAGGTGCTGGGCCGTCACGCGCCACATGCCATCAAAACCATCGCTGCACTCAAGGGAACGAGGGGGAGAACAGCTCCCCTCCACAGCTGCCCGCACCCCTGTACGGGCCCTCCAGCCTCCCCTGTGCACCCGCCCCAGGCGGCCACGGATCTGCTGTGTTCCGGGGGGCGGTGTCTTTGTGACCCCTCACACCCAGAAATCCCCCAGCGCCGCGGGTCAGCCCAGAGCTTCCAGAATTTGGCCAGATGGAATCCGACAGCAGGCTTTCTGCGGTGGCCATCCTCTCTCACTCGGCAGGGTCCTGGCACCCTGCCTCGGCAGGCTGCACCCCACTCCAGCACGTCTGGGTCTCTCGCCCCTACTGGGCCGGGGCCTGGTGGGCCGGCCACTGAGGGGTCCATCCACGCACCTGTGCCTGGGCAGCTGGGAGGTTCTGGGCCTGAGCTCTCAGGGTGACGCTGCTATGACCATTCATATCCAGATGTTTCCTCTCCCTTGGATAAAACCCAGGAGTGGGGTGCACAGGGCAGATGACAGAGGGACCCCCCCTCTGAGCGACCACCAGACTCCTATTCTCCACATCCCCCCGGCAGCGGAAGAGGGTTTCTGTCGCTTCACGTCCTCGCCGGCACTAGGTATTGCCAGTCTTCAACTGGAGCCGTCCTGGTTTCCGGGGTCCTGGGGTCTCACTGAGGGGTTCGTTTGCCCCTAACTAACGCTGAGCATCTTCTCACATGCGTCTTCGCCGTCTGGGTATCTTCTTTGATAAACTGTTCAAATCCTCTTACTCCCTTGTTTCTTTTGGGTCGTTTGGCTGCTTATTATTTGTAAAAGTCATTCACACGTTTTCATTCATACAACTTCTCAGATACATATTTTGCAGATATTTTCTCCCGATCTGGCTCGTCTGCTTATTTATACGACACTGTTTTGTAAGAGCAAAAGTTTTGCTGTGATGCAGTCCAGTTTATGGATTTCTTTTCGCATAGTCTGTTTTTAGAGAAATGTTTGCTGTACCCACGGTCACTAGGATTTCTTCTGGCGCCGCTCTTGGGTAGGTCTGTGGCCCACTGCGAGCTCGTCTGTGCGCGCAGCGTGAGTCCCACACTGAGGTTCCAGCGTGCTCGCGTCTGGCTCACTGGCGGAAAAAATTGTTCCCTCTCCATCGAAATGATTTAGCACCTTTGTCAAAAGTCAGCTGACCAAACACGTGGGGTCTGCTCTGGGCGCTAGTCCTGTCCATTGGGTCTGAATGTCCATCTGACAGCCCTACCACAGTGTTGTGAGTAAATTAAGGCCTAAAATCAGGTTGTGTGAGACCTCTACCTTTTACCTTCTTTTCCAAAATGGTCTTAGCTATTTTAGATCCTTTGCATTTCCATATAAATTTTAGACTTAGCCTGCTAACTTCTTTTTTTTTAAGATTTTATTTATTTATTCATGAGAGACACAGAAAGAGAGAGGCAGAGACACAGGCAGAGAGAGAAGCAGGCTCCATGCAGGGAGCCCGACGTGGGACTTGATCCCAGGACCCTGGGGTCACACACTGGGCCAAAGACAGACGCTCAACCGCGGAGCCCCCGAGGTGCCCCAAGCTGCTAATTTCTTCAAGAAAAATGCCCTTAAGCTTTGGGCTGGGAATGCATCTAACCCATAGTTGGGTTCTGGATGAGTTCTCTCTCATTATTAAGGCTGCTCATCAGTGAGTAGGACATTCTGCTCCATCTGGTGAAGCCCTTTAAAAATTTATTTCAGCAATGTTTGGTGGCTTTCAAAGTGAAAGTTCTTGCACATCTTTTGTCAACATCATCCCCAAGTATTGCATGGGATGTTTTTTATAAATGGTCTTTTCCATTTTCAATTATCAGTTGTTGGTTGTAGGAATATAGAAATGCAATACATGTTTGCCAGTTAACCTTCTATCCTGCAACCTTGCTAAACCAACATAGTTCTAAGAGGCTTTCTTGAGGGTTTTTTTTTTTTTGTACATTCCCTGAAATTTTCTCTGTGAACAGTCTTGTCATCCGAAACCCAGAGGCAGTTTTACTTCCCTTCCAATCTTTGTGTCTTTTATGTCCTTCTGTTCCTCGTTGCACAACGGGGCTTCCAGCAGGTGGCTGAGTAAGAACCATCAGAGCCTGCTCTGCTCCTGCTAGGGAGGGCCAGTGTTCAGGGTGTACCAACCGCCTGCATCCGCTGTAGGATTTCTGCAGATGCCTTCATCGGGCTCCTGTCCCTAGTCTGCTGAGAGATTGGTTGGTTGGTTGGTTGGTTGGATCAGAAATGGATGTGAGATTTTTGTCAAACATTTTTCCCAAATCTATGCAGATAGTCGGCTTGTGCTATGGTGAATCACACTCGTTGATCTTCAAATGTCAAACCAGCATTGTGCTTTGTCGTTTTATATTTCCTTTTCTCCATCTTTGGAATCATTTGCTGTATTTTTGTTCATGACTTTTACAGCTACGTCCATGAGAGATGCCGGTCTGTCATGGTTCCCTGTAAAGTCTGTGTCTGGTTCTGGTCGTGGCGGGGAGGGTGGCCTCCCAACTTTAAATGCTTTGTAGGAGCGCCTGGGTGGCTCAGTCGGTTAAGCAGCTGCCTTCTGCTCAAGTCACGATCTCAGGTTTGTGGGATGGAGCGTGGGGTTGGGCTCCCTGCTCACCAGGGAGTCTGCTTCTCCCTCTTCCTCTGCCCCTACCCCTCCTCATGCACTCTCGCTCTCTCTCAAATATGTAAAGTCCTTAAAAATAAATACAATCAATCAATCAATCAATCAATCAATGCTTTGTAGAATTCACTGGAGTTTTCTTTGTGGGCAGATTTTTAGCTACAAATTCAATTTCTTCGAAAGACGGAGGGATAATCACTTATGTATGTCCCGCGGAGTGAGCGCTGCTGGCCTCTGTGTGCAGGGCCCGGCCCAAGTCATCTACGCTGTGGGACGCATTGGTGTAATGTTGTCACGACCTGTCCTGATGCCCCCTTTCTCACTCCTGCTTTGTGCTTTGTCCCAGCTCTTCTCTTTTGGATCAGTCTGCATAGGAGTTTAAAAATCGTATTGATGTTCTCAAAGAATCAGCTTTAGGTCTGATTGATCCTCCACGTTGTTTTTCTTTTGGTATTTCATGGCGGGGTGGTTTTTATTTTTATCATTCCCTGTATTTTTGTTCCTTGGGGTTTGCTTTGGTCCTGTTCTAGTCTCACTGTGTTGAGAGCTTTCTGGTTTTCTAATGTGAGTATTAACGCAGACGCACCCCCCTTCCGAACACTGCTTTAGCTGTGCCCACTAACTTTGCTGTGCTGCGTTTTCACTTTCATTGGGCTGGGGGTTCTAAGTTCCTCTCAAATTTCTCCTTTGACTCATAGGTTATTCAGAAATGCATTGCTCTGTGTCTAAATATCTGGGGGAGCTTACAAATATTTTTCTGTTTCTGGTTTCTAATTTACTTCTGTTGTCGTCTAAGGAAACAATTCGTATGATTTCCCTCCTTGTAAATGTACTGGGATTTGTCTTATGGCCCAGAGCACAGGCCATCTTGGGAAATGCTCTGCGCATTCAGACCCTCCACTGCTGCACTGGGTGGCCCGGGTTCCGGGGTTCCAGCCCTGGCCTCTCTGCACCGCTAGCTGGCCCTGGCCGAGGCACACACCTGGCAAGCCCTCAGGGCCCCGTCTCTGTCGCTGCTTCTCACACCTGCTGCGCAAGGTGCTCTGGCCCAGTTTTCTTCATATTTCTTGTTATTAGGGTTCATGGAGTTTCTGGGTTCCGTGTGTTTGTAGTGCTCAACAAATTTGGAAAGATTTGACAATTATTTCTTGGGATGATGTTTTCCCTTCCTCGCCTCTCCTGGGACTGCAGGGACACGGCTGCACTGCTTCCTGCGGCGCTGGAAGTCATCGTCACGTCCTGGCTAGCACTGCCTGATGTCTCATCTTCAAGCCTGTGATCTTTGACCCGTGGCCTTGTGTGGCTCTGGGGACTGTCCTGTCCCATCCTTCTCTGCAGCTCCCTTTGCGTCTTCGGGTAACTTCCCCAAATGCGTGCCTGGAACCCTCTGCCCACCTTCTAGCTCTGTCCTGGGCAGCCCTCCTTGATCTGAGCTCTGCCCTGTGCATTCCAGCTGCCCTGGCCTCCCCCACTCCCCACTTGCCTCCGTCAGGGAGACCATGGGCTCTGTTTCGTCCCCCAGCACTAAGGCCTGCAGAGCCTCCTGTCAAGTCCCTTCGCCCAGAGCCACTGCCTCGGCTGACCTAAAAATGCTGCTCCCTCTATTCTCCCCTTTTTAGTTGTTTTGGGCAAGACAGCAAGCCCAGTTCTCTTTAATTCATCATAGCCTGATGCTGAAGCCTGTGACATGCTCTGGTTTTGACCTGTGTTTAGAGTGTGAGCTTCATGAGGATGAGAATATTGGGGGCACATGGAGCATCTCAGTGACTACCGGCAACAGGGTGACAAACCATCCCAGTCTGCCCAGAGAGAGTGCCTCCATGGCTCTGGAGGCTCGGTGCCTAGGGCCCCCCAAATGGTTCACTTCTTTTAAAGAAAAAACAAAAACAAAAACCCTTTACAGTGAAATAAAATGTTTTTTCACATTAGAAAAAATGAGAAATGTAGGGCCCATGAATATCTTAAATTTTGCCTAAAACAGAACAAAAGCTAAATGTTGAAGTATATTAAAAAGTCATATAAATAAATATTTATATTAAAAAGTCATAAAAATAAATATTATACATAACTTATAAAAGTTATATAAATAAAAAATATTTAATATTGATGTTATTATGGTTGGAGGGGGTCCATGAAATAATGGGATCCTCTCAATGGGATCCTTGCCTTTACACTTCGCTAGATGGGACCAGGTGTGGGGACTGGGGGCCAGAAATGCTAGGTAAAATGCAGAAGTCCCTTAGCAGCGAAGGCAGGGCCGGGTGGGGACCCAGGCGGGCTGACGAGGGAGCCGGGGGCAGGGTCACTGAGCCCTGGGGCTGCTCGGTGCAGCGCCTCTGCGGAACCAGGCTCAAGGCTCAGGGCTCGGGGTGGCGTGGGCGAGGGGGCAAAGGGCACCTGGCAGAAGCCTGCGGACAGAGAGACAGAAGATTGCACCAGGGGACTGTGGCCAGACCCCGTGGTGACGCCCCGAATGGTGCGCGAGCACCTGAGGATCGCGTGGGGGTGGCTGTGCGGCAGCACTCGGCGCTGTCGGAGCCAGGCCTGGGTTCCAGGCCACGTGGGCGGCGGCAGGCTGATGTGACAGGCGGAGGATGGGGTGGCGGTGGAGCCCGGGCAGACCTGGGGCGGGGGCGGGGACAGAGCCGGGGTGGGGCGGAGCCGGGGCTGCGAGTGGGCGGGGCTGGGACGGGGCGGAGTCGGGGCTGCGAGGGGGCGGGACTGGGAAGGGGCGGAGTCGGGCTGCGAGAGGGCGGAGCTGGGAAGGGGAGGAGTCGGGGCTGCGACTGCGGGGCTGGGGAAGGGGCGGAGTCGGGGCTGCGAGGGGGCGGGACTGGGAAGGGGCGGAGTCGGGCTGCGAGAGGGCGGAGCTGGGAAGGGGCGGAGTCGGGGCTGCGACTGCGGGACTAGGGAAGGGGCGGAGTCGGGACAGCGAGGGGGCGGAGCCTGAGCGGCGAGGGGGCGGGGCCGGGAAGGGGCGGAGTCGGGCTGCGACTGCGGGGCTGGGGAAGGGGCGGAGACTGCGCGGGACCGAGGTTAAATAGAGGGAGGGGCGCGAGCCTGGAAGCGGCGGGGGTGGGGCTGCGCCCAGGGGCGGGCTTGGGGCGGGGCGGGGGCGGGTCCAAAGCCGGGCGGGGGCGGGCCGGGGCGGGGCCTCCGTAGCGGCTCCCGCAGGGCTGCCGGCTCCTGGCCGCGGAGGCCGCAGAGGGTTATTGCGGCGTGGTCTCCGCGTGGTCTCCGCGGGGCCCCCGGACGATCGCGCCGTCAGACCCAGGGGTCGGCGAGCGGCCGCGGTGAGTCCCGGGAGCAGCGGAGTTCAGCGTGCTGAAGGTCACAGTTAAGGTCACCCCGAAACCTTCCCCCTGTGCTGGGACCGCAGTCTTTGGGGTGGGGCTGTGCGGGAGGGGGCGGAGGCGCCGGAGCCGCAGGCCTGGCCTCACTCAGGCCTGTTAGATCCTGAAGTTGAGTGGGGGTGGGGGTGGGGGATGAGGCGGCTGATGTTCCGGGGAAGGGCAAGTCTAATTAGTGCCCCTGGTGGGGACGCTGCGGCCCCACCCCCGCCGCCCCCGAGCATCCCCGCGGGCCCGAGCATCCCCGCGGGCCCGAGGGCAGTGGCGGTCCAGACTCCCCCAGCCTCCGGCCGGACGTTGGGCTCGGTCCCGACCCCCTCACCGAGGCCGAGCCGGAGCTGTGCGGGGGCCGTGCCCAAGAGCCCCCGGAATGCGCTCAGAGCGCACTTCCCCCGCCGCCTGCCCAGAGCTGCGGCTGCGGCCCTAGGAAGGGCTGCGCCCTGGGCGGCTTCCTGGGAGAGCGAACGAGTGGCGCCCCCGGACCCCGAAAGTAGCCGAAGTGAGGGACCCACTCAGGGATATCCCGGGAGCCAAAGGAAGGGGAAGCAGTGAGAGAGACCCAGCCCCGAGGCCAGTCCCTCACTCAGGGCCCCAGGTGGGGGTGCAGTGTGTCAGGCTCCCACAGGCCCCTGCATGAGCCCCCCCTTCAGTCTGCACCACAGGCCTCCTGGGCTAGTGATACCAGTCTCTCGTCTTGGAATGTCCCCCACCCTGCTCCCTTCTCTTTTTGTGTCCCCTCCTTCAGGAAACCGGACACCCAGGCTGAGTTGGGAGGCTCTCCTGCCCACCAGCTCCCCTGCCCAGGTCCCCTTGGGTCCCTCAGTCCTCGAGGTGACCAGCTGCCTTTTGTTCCCCTCTGTGCAGGGCTGCAGTGCCTCCAGTACAGCAGGAGCTCTGGGAGGGCAGGGGGTTGTCAGACACCCCCGCCCCCGCCCCTGGGCCCTGCCCCAGCCCGAGTTGAATCCAGGACCAGCTGCTCTTCACCTCACCACACCCACTCTCAGCTCCAGCCATGGGGCCCCTGCTAACCCTGTTCCTGGTGGCCCTGGTGGGCCTCCCGCTGGGTAAGGTGGATGGAGAACAGAGGACGGATGGCCCCATGTTGGGGGGCAGGAGGGGAGGGAGGCCAGATCTCCTAATCCCCTGTCCCTCCAGCTCTTCTGCTCTGGGGAAGGTGACGGGACCTGCGGTCTGATGGGCTGGAGGAGGGGCCCCTCCCGGTTCCGGGACCCCCATCCAGCTCCCACCCCGTCCCCTGGCCCCCAGCCCAGGCTCTGGACTGCCACGTGTGCGCCTACAACGGAGAGAACTGCTTCAACCCCGTCCACTGCCCGGCCATGGTCACCTACTGCATGACCACGCGCACTTGTGAGTCGGCCGGTGCCCCAGTGGTCCCTGGGAGCATGAGGGGCTGCTCTTCCCCAGCCCTGGAGGGTGGGAGACTGAGCAGGGAGACCCCCCGCTTGCCCTAGGAGTCTCTTGGGGGAGCACCTGGGAGCACTTGGCTGCCCTAAAGGCCTGTGTGCCAGGGTTGGCCAACCTGAGTCCTGGCCCACCCCCGCTGTGCAGACTACACCCCGACCAGGATGAAGGTGAGCAAGTCCTGCGTGCCCAGCTGCTTCGAGACGGTGTACGATGGTTACTCCAAGCACGCCTCTACCACCTCCTGCTGCCAGTACGACCTCTGTAACGGTGCTGGCCTCGCCGTCCCCGGAACCCTGGCCCTGGCCCCCATACTCCTGGCTACCCTCTGGGGTCTGCTCTGAAGCCCTGCCCCCACCAGGACCCACGCAAGGACAAGTTCTGAGAAGCCCAGCCCTACCCTTTCATCCTTTCACCCTTTCATCCTGCCCCCACCTTCTGTGCTCCCAGAGATCCCCCCCCAACGGTTGCTCCAGCCACCATCCAGAACTGCCTGCGGGAGGGACTCGAGTGTCCACCACCATCCTGGGCCTCGCTCCCAGACCACCACCTTCCATTTTCCTTTTTTTTTTCTTTCTTTTTTTTAATTTATTTATGACAGTCACAGAGAGAGAGAGAGAGAGAGAGAGAGAGAGAGGCAGAGACATAGGCAGAGGGAGAAGCAGGCTCCATGCACTGGGAGCCCGACGTGGGATTCGATCCAGGGTCTCCAGGATCGCGCCCTGGGCCAAAGGCAGGCGCCAAACCGCTGCGCCACCCAGGGATCCCCACCTTCCATTTTCCAAAGGTTGACGTGGGACCTTCCAAAAATGTCTGGTCTTGGTGGGAGAGCTCACCCCTCCTCTACATGAGGATGAGGGCATCTGGAGAAGTGTGCCGCTTAGTTGGGGTCCTCAGTTGGCTGAGGGACACTGATGGGAAGGGAGACTTGGCCCACCCTCCTGGCAGCTCTGGGAGCAAGGCCCTGCCCCAGTCTGCTTAGTAAGTGTGTGGAGGCGCAGGGGAAAGCAGGAACCCAGGGTGGGTGGGGGGCAGTCTTGGGAAGAAGGGCTTTCTGGGGCCCCAGGAGGTCTGTCCCTGTGCATCTGACAGGCCAGGAGCTGCCCAGGGTAGGCGTGGCATAGAGGGCCACGCGAGGAAGGCCTTCGTCCTTGTCAGCCATCCTGGTGGGAGTGCCAGAAAGGCCTGGGTGGGGGGTGGGGGTGGCTCATCCTAAAGAGCCCCTGAGGCCCCCAGCCCCAGGAGCCTGGCAAGAGGCTCTTCCTTTCTTGCTCCGCCCAATCCCTGACCTTCCCCCCCTCCACACCCGCCTGAGGCTGGCAGGCACTTGGGGGCAGGGCAGGCAGGCCAGATGGCTATATTTGGTGGATCATGAGAGCTGACCCCAGGGCTATTTTTGGCAGGGAGGGAAGGGAGCTGGGTGGGACCAGAACAGCCTGATCTTCAGCCCTGGCCTGGCCCTTACTGGAGGGGGGTGAGCCGCAGCAGGTGGCTGAGAGTGTGAGCACCCGAGTCAGCGGGGGAGGGCGGAGGGCTGAGGATGGAGGGCGGAGGTCGGGGTGGGGGGTGCGGGGAGGATCCTGGGAGGAAGGAGAGGAGTCGGAGAGACGCTGGGAGAGGCCGGCTCTGGGATGCAATGCAGATGACCAGGCTCCCTGTGGACAGGCACCCCAGGATTTCCTCTGCAACCCCCATCCCAACAACCACTGCCCACAGCCGCTTCCGGCTGGCCTCCCTCCGCTCTGGCCTGCTTGCCCGGCTCAGTGAGTTCTGGCTGAACTGGCCTCGGCCCCAAAGCCTGAGGGTCTCCATGGGACCCTCTACCCTCCAACTGTGCCTGAGGAGAGAGACAGGAGAGAGAGAGGCCCACTGGGGCTGGAGAGCTTCCTCTCTGATCCGAGGAGTGGTCTGCGAGTGCCCCCAACCTAGTGGGGTATTGGGACCTTCAAGGGCCCAAGAATTGGCATTATTTAAAGGGTACAAGCCTAGGTGAACCCCCCCCTGGCCTGGTTTCAAAGTCAAGAGTCTGCCCAGTAGAGACCATCCTGGATCAGGGTGGCCCAGGAAACACCGGTCCTCCTCCCGCTGAGGCCAGACTGCATGGCACATGGTGCCCCAGGTCACACAGGGCCTGCCTAAGGCCTTAGCTGCCCAGTGTCCCCAGCCCCAGGGTTCGTGGAGGGGCCCAGGAGCCCCTTCAGGCTGTCTGGACCTAAGTGGGCAGGACTGTGGCAAATGCCTCTGTGGTGGCATCGTCCCTGGAACGCAGAGGCCCTTGGCCCCCGAGCGTGGCCTCATCAAGGGAGCCTGTGCTGGAGATCCCGCCTTGAGAGCTTCACCCAGTGCTTCCAGAACCCAAGGGATTAGGATATCGTGGGAGAGCCTGGGGGAGCCTCAGCAGGTGACCTTGGGCAGACCTGGTTGGAACTCCCAGAAGGCCTCTCATCCTGGGCGGGAAAGGAGCTGCACCCCACAGAGTGTCCTGTCAAGGGCTCAGTCCCCACAGGACACCTGGGTGCCTCCTCCTGAGGCCCGATCCGGTGTGAGCCCTTCCCTGGGGAAGGCGGGCAGCAAGCCAGACTCCAACCCTGAGCTCCCACAGGTCCTGCGGGACACCCCCCAGGAAGGGTCGGTCTCAGGAAGACCAAGCTCCCCACAGAGCTGCCTGGAGGGCCAGCGCAGGCCTCTACCTGCGGATGCCGGCTGGAAGAAAGGGTGGACGGAGGCCTCCAGCCCTAGCCGCCCTTGACCTGACTCAGTGGGAGAGGCTTGGAATCGGTTGTTAAAGTGCTTGTGTAAGACCTTTGTCCTGGGTCAGCAGGCATCCTAGGCCACGGCTGGGAGGTGCACAGGATCGGTCCTCCCTCCTCTCAGTGGCTGATGACGTTAGAGCCCTGCCTGGGCACCCGTGGGCTCTGGGGTCACTGAGAGCAGGGATCCAGGGAGCTGGGCTTGCTGCCGTGTGGGGGTGCTTCTTACACCTGCCTTCTGTGCCCCTCTGTCCACCGTGACCTGGTCCAAGCCCAACACCCACTGCATTGCACCAGGCCTGCAGGACCAGGCTGGGCTCTGGCTGGCTGGGCTGTCCTTGGAACCCAGCCCAGAGCCCTCAGGAGGTCCTCGACCAATGCGGGGGCCCCGGCCCCTCGTGGGACACATGTGACGCTGACCTGGAAGGGCAGTGCCGGTGGGGACAGGCACAGCGACCATGGGAACTGACTGTCCGGCTGCCCTGTGCTGGTGGCTGTAAGCACTCCACGACCACCCTGTGAGGTAGAAGGCATTACAGGTGAAGAGGCTGAGGCACGGGGCGCTGACCTGGCTGCCCGCCACCCCCCACCCCACCCCCGCTGTGCGGTCTTCTCCCATGTGCTGGGAGGCTGCGTCCCAGAGCCTGGGACAGGGAAGGGAGCTGGTTATAAACTTAGAACTATTTTGGCCTGTGAGATAATGATAAGAGCTGAGGGTCAGGAAAGCTCTAGAAGGAGAAAAGTAGAAGCAGAGGTTTGAGACACCGTGAGGCCCAGAGGCAGGCGTCCAGCCCCGGGTCTGGGTCCCACAAGCTGGGGTTGCAGAGAGGGGGCACAGGGGCACTAGCCCCGCGTCTCCAGCTGCCAGCGAGACAGCGGGCATTTCCACTGAGGGGGTCCCCCCAACAGAAATGAGTGTCCCCTCCATGTGGATCGATGCTCGGGCTCTTTGAAGCCCTCTGTGGTGTCCATCTCGAGTCTGGAAGCTGCCTGGGTGTCTCTGCTGTGCTGCCTCCTGTGGGCACCCTGGGAGCACAGCTGGGGAGCGGGGGCAGCAGGCGCCCACCCTGTGTACCCAGGGTGGGCGTCTGCAGCCAAAGGCACGCTCCAGACCTGTGTGCGGCCTGGCCCCGCTGCATACAGAAGGCCTCAGGAAGGTGCGCTGGTGGTGGGCGGGCGGGGAGGGGGGTCGACCAACCGCCCCATCTCCCTCCGCAGCGGCTGACTTGTTTGATAAACATGTAACTCATTCATGCTTCTAGACCTCTTGAGTTCTGTTGGGTCCTACAGCTCTGGGCTGGCTCATTCATAAAATGGGCATGATGCCCACCAAGCCGAGGCCTCGGGGGGATGGACAAGGCTGGGGGTGTAAGTGCCCGGCCCAGGGCCTAGCACACAGGAGGCCTCAGATCCATGGGTGGTCCCTCTTCCCTTCCTGCCACTGGCGAGCTCTGGGCACTTCCAGGGCCATGCCCCTGCCAGCTGCTAATGCCAACCCCTGACCCTGACCCGCATGAGACTCCGCCTTTGGGCCCGGGCCTCCTCCACTGCTCACACTATGCATTTCAGTATCTCCAGTGTGAATAAACAGATGAGGACACATGTCTGCCCTTCTCTCTGTCCTCACCAGCCAGCGGGGCCTGACCTCGGGTCCCCCCTTCTGGTCTGGTGCAGCTGGTCATGCTGGCTGCGTGGGTCCCAGACTCCAGCTCATCCAGTTGCCCTCGGAGCTGGGGCTTGCACAGGGCAAGGGGATGACCCATGGGAGGGGAGCTAGCAGGACAGGCAGGAGGATCCGTGGGTCCAGGGAAAGCGGCAGGCCACCCAGTCACCCAGCTGCCCCCTCTGAGCAGAGAAGGCTGGTGGGGGCTGGGGGAGGGAGGCGGCACCCAGGAACCCCCCTACCACCCCTGGCTCTCAGGCTCCTCACCCTGGCTCCCCATCCGGGAGCAAGGTCTGAGTCTACCTGGCCCCCAGCCCTAAGGAGCCCACCAGATAGAGCGGCTGACAGAGCCAACGCCCTGGGACAGCCATAGCTCGGCCCCTGTGGTGCCCAAGCCTGCCAGCTTTTGGCCCGCATGGCTGGCTTCTGCTCCCAGGTGTGCCCTTTTGGGCTCTCGCCCATCGTGGGGCCTCAGATACCTGTCTGCTGCCCACTGGGCCCATCTGACGGGCAGGACAGCTGAGGATGCGCATGCTCTGGCTCTCGGAGGGGGGCTGGTCCTCTAGCCCGCAGGAGGCAGCGCTGCTGAAGGTTCCCGCCGGCCCTGAGCGTCACTGGCACGGCCAGCGGGAAGACCTCCGCTTCAGCCCAGGAGAAACCAGAGGCTGTGCGCCGAGGGTCTGCCCCGTGCCAGGCGCTCTTCCGCGGTCCCCACCTACAAGCTGGGATCGCCCTTGATGGACAAGGAAAGAGGTCTGTGCGGTACACCGGGCCTGCCCTCAGGCCTGGGCGCTGGGCGGCCCGGCCGGCTTCTCGGCTGAGTCAGCAGCCACTGAGTCACACGGAGCGGGTGCGGCGGGGACAGCAGGTATAAGATGGCAGCGGGGGCCCGGGACCAGCCTCTCCCCAGGACACCATGCGGCTGCTCCTCGGGCTCTTGCTGGCGTCTGCCTTGAGCCTGGAGCCGGGTGAGTCCAGGGGCCACCTCCTCCCCAGCTCTAAGCCCTCCCCAACCTGAGCCACCGCCTCAGGGGCGCCCAAATCCTGCTCCTCCACCCCTTTTCCGGGGGCGCTGGGCCCTCCCCGCCGTCTGCTTCTGGAGCATTCAGGAGTTCTCCCCCGACCCCCTTCCAGGACCCGTAGGCCCCTCAGCCGAGCCCTCGAGGCTGTCCTCGTCCTGCAAGCACTGCCCCAAGCTTGACGCCTTTCTCCCCCCACCTCCCCCACAGCCCCACACTGAGAGTGGGGCTCCCTTCCAGCTTCCCGGGGCCTGCACCCCCTTCTGGCCGCCTCCGAACTCTCTTCGGCTGGGGCCCAGGTCTCTCCTCCCATACTCAGGCTCCCTCGTGGGGCCAGCTCCCCACTCTGGCCACCCCTTGGACCCGATGCCTGCCTGAGGGCTGCTCGGGGGCATCTCCCTCGAATGGGGCTGCCCACTCGTGGCCGCATCATCTTCCTGCCCCACACGAGGTGGGATGGCATCTCCACCCACCCCCCCAGAGGCCCAAACCAAACCAGCTGGGCCCTCGATCCAACCGCAACCAGCCCACTCCTCAGTGCCCTCACCTGGCAAGGCCTCTGTCTCCCCATCTGGGTCAGCTCCTCACGGCCAGAGGCCCTGAATGAGATCAACAGAGAGTGTCTGGGCGGCCCCGGGCATGGGCACAGGGCTGCACCCAGCAGCGTCCGGGACCCGCCACTCTCTCCCTGCAGGAACGCTCTGTGCAGGCTTGTCTGGTCTAGGAGGCTCAGGGCCCCGGGGCCATCAGTGTGGATGGACGGGGGTGGGGAGAGCCTCTGTCACCACCAGGGCTAGGTCACAGGGGTTGGGTGGCATCTGGGAGTGGCCCCCACAGGCCCCTCCTCCCTCCCCTGGCTCCCCTCCCTCAGTGGATCACAGGAGCCCCCTCCCCCCGGTGCCATGGTGCTGCCTGTGTCCTCTCCCTGCTACCCATGGGAAGCACACTGTCCCCCAGCACACATGCCAGCCCTGCTTTAGAGGGAACAAACGGGGTCCAGAGCAGGAGGTGTCCACCTGCTGCTCCATGAACCAGGATAGGACACAAGCCTGGTCAGCTGCACCTGCAGCCCTTCCACCTGACTCACTCCTCCCTCCCTCCCTTCCTCCCTCCCTTCTTTCCTTCCTCCCTTCCTCCCTTCCACAAAGCTCTCCTGAGCCCCACTGGGTACAGAAGAGGATGTTCTGGGGGCACAGAAGAGGGGGTGAAACACCCCACCCATGTCCTTCACATCAGAGGCAGTGGAGGTAGGGAGGGAGCCCTGAGCAAGATCAGGTGGGGTGTGATCTTGTGACATTGTCGCCAGGCTAGGGCCAGAGGTGCCAGCAGCTCGTGGTGGGCACGTCCAAGGAGGAGTCATCAACTCTGCCTGGAAATCCAGGAGGCGGCATTTTAGCTGGGGTCTGTTTTGCCTGGAAGGCAGAAGGAACAGTATGGGCAAAGCAGGAAGGCATTTGGGAGGCCGAGCAGAGGAGAGTGGGAGGCCGGGCAAAGTCTCAGGGCCACAGACACCCCGCCTTCCAGGTGACATTCCCTGTCTGTCCATGAGGTGGCACATGCAGCTTACCACACGGTCCTCAGGTTAGATGTGAGGGTGGCTTCAGGCAGCTTCCATGGGCTTTGTGACCTGAGCTGTCACCTCTCCTGGACACGCGTGGGGTCTCGGATGGCTCTGTGGGGCTGGCTGATGGTCGGCGGCACTCCCACCGTGGAGACTTCCCGTCTCCATCACCTGCTCTGTGGCTCAGGGAGGAGGCCACTCACAGCTCCAGGGGTGAGCAGAGGGAGCAGGTAGCCCTGCCCGGGCATGTGTGCGTGCGCCGTGCACACTACGGCCTGGTTAAAGGGTGTGGTTCATCATCGTGGCCAAAGGACCCGGGTCTGAAAGTGTGCTACCCTGGGGCGGTGATGGCGGGGCTGGGGCAGCCCAGCTGAGGCCCAGAGGACTGACTGGGGCGTGGCCGGGGTGTGAGCACACGGCCTGGACTGCGGCACAAGCGTCCTGAGGCTCGGAGCCTGCACGCGGCGGGTGTGCTGGTGCCCGCAGGTGCACGCTGCCAGAGCAGGGCAACGCCGCGCTCGGACAGCACACAGCTCGGGTGCAGGAAACACAGGCAGGGAGGGAGGCAGGAAGTTTGAGGCGAGAAGCACGGGTGGCGAGAGGGGACAGGGGACCGAGAGCCAGGCGGGCCGACGGGCAGGTGAGCCAGACGTTTATGAAATGAACTTGGGGTTTCAAAAGCCTCAGGGCTGTCCTCAAAGAACACATGGGGCCGTGCCAGCCTCCTTCTGTCCCTTTTATTGCCCAGCGCTTCTGTCACCCTTGCCTCCCTCTCCCCACGGAGGCTGTGAAGCCCCACGACCTCTGCCACCGGAAACAAGGTGCCTGCAGGGCTCAGGGGTCCTGCTCAGACCCCGCAGACGTATGGGCGAGGCCATGTCCTGGGGAGCCCTCGCCCGCTTCTCCCATCCCAAACTTCCCCCAACCCTCCACTCCCTCTGCTGCTCATCCACTGCCGGTGGGGCGGGGGGGGGGAGTCACACAGCGAGCCCGGGAAGACACCATCCTGCCCCCCAGCCCAGTGCTGTCCTCACTCAGAAGAGCTGCCTCCAGCTGCAGCCGACCCAGCTGTGGCCCTGGTCATCTGCCCCTCCCCCCATCTGGGAGATCTTGAGGGGTCGGGCACCCCAGGATGAGGGGCTAAGGTCCTGAGGATGACAGGGGGCACTGGGCAAGGATAGAAGGGACTGTTAGGTGGGCGTTGCTCACACCTGTGTCCCTGTCTGTGTGTCCATCCACCCGTCCCTCCACCCGTGGCTGCAGCCCGAGCCTTGAGCTGTCACCAGTGCAAGGGCTTCGGAGGGTGCCTCCATCCATCCACCTGCCCCTGGGGCTCCAACTACTGCGTCAGCATCGCTACCCGTGAGTAGGGCATGTGCGGGGTGGGCCAGCCGTCCCCTCCTTGCCCAGTAGAAGAGACCCAGGCCCAGAGGGTGCAGAGCTGATCCAGGCTCCCAGCTAGTCAGGAACAGGGCAGGGGGAGCATCCACCGGCCGCAGCTCAGGAAAGGACCCAAGGGAGGGGGCCAGTTACACCCACTCTGGGGACTGCCTCTGGGCTTGGTGGCAGGGGGCAGGGGACACAGGCAGCTCAGAGCCTCAGGGAGCCTGCAGTTTATCTTCTGTCCACCCCAGGAGTCCCCTTCAGCGTCATTGACATGCCTCTGGTGACCAAATCCTGCTACAGTGGCTGCCCAGACATCTCTACCCTGGGCCTTGGCCCCCACGTGTCCATCGTCTGCTGCCAGTTCAGCCTCTGCAACACCGACTGACCAACTGACCGCCGCTTCCACCCCCCGCGGCTCCCCCCACCTGTGGAGCTCAGAGCTGCACCCGCACAGCGCAGGAGGGCACCCCAGCACAGAGCAGGAGGGTGGAACACCTACAGGTGGCCCTGGGCGGGTCGGAGGAAGTGGGAGGGGCCCTCGCGGAGGGGGAGGGGAGCATGGTGGGAACAGAGCTGGCAGGTGGGTGGGTGAGGCTGGAGGCAGCTCTGCCCCCACCCACGCACAGGTGCACGCGCATGCACCCACCTGGGATCTTTGAAGCATGGCTCCAGCCGGCCTCCAGCTGTCAAGTAGACCAAGACCTCCCCAGTGACCCCCAGGCCCACCCCCCAGCCCTTTCCCTTTCCCCAGCCGCTCTCATGGAAGCCAGTGTGGTGGTGCAGCCCCCCGGGGGCAGTGCGGGGGGGGGGGGAGCATCCCAGCAGAGAGCGGCCCCACACAGGGGCACAAGGAGGGCCTCCGGGTGGCGGGGCTTGGGGTGCGGGGGAGAGACTCGGACAACCCCAACCGCAGGACAGCTCTGTGTAGGCGCTAACGCGGCGCAGAGGGGCAGCGGAGGAGGCAGGACTCGGGAGGTGGGGAGCTGACCACCCCGAGAAGAAAACCAGGCTGGCTCGAGGCCTTCTCTCCCATTACAGTTGAATCAGAGATTTAAACGTGTAAAAAAAAAAAAAAAAAAAAAAAGGCGGGGGGGAGCACCCGGGTGGTTCAGCAGTTGAGCGCCTGCCTTCAGCCCAGGGCGTGACCCCAGAATCCTGGGATCGAGTCCCGTGATAGGCTCCCTGCATGGAGCCTGCTTCTTCCTCTGCCTGGGTCTCGGCCTCTCTCTCTGGGTTTCTCATAAATAAATAGATAAGATCTTTAAAAAAACAAAAAGACTTAAAAAAAATTGTTAAAATGACAGTTTGTCACAGAAAATCTAGTCACCCAGCCCTCCCACCCGCAGGCGCATACCCACGACAGGGGAACACGTGTTCGTGCAAAAACTTCTCCACGAACGCACTGCCACGGGGCCTGGTGGCGACGACGTGCGAGGAGCGCAAAGGGCGGCAAAGGGCAGCGTTCGGAGGGACACAACAGTCCCCGCGGCGCGTCCCTGGCTCTGAGCGCAGGAGGAGCGCACGATGTGGAGCGCAGGAGGCCAAATCCGGGGGGCAGGGGGCCTATACGGGCCAGGGCGGCTGGGGGGGTGCTGCTGCGCAGGGGGGCCCGGGGGCAGGGCAGGGGCTTCTCGCTGGGCCCCGGGGGATGGTTGCCCGAACCTGCGGGAAACACTTCCAGGGGGTGAATTGTGTGGAATGTGAGGGCCATCCAATAAAGCTGGTTAAAAACTAACAAGAAAAAAACAATGAGAAAAAAAAGAAAAACAAGATTGATAATCCACACTGAGAAAGATTCATGACCTCACAAAAAATCTAAGAAATACATGAAAAAGTATAATACACAAAACGGAAACACAACAGCAAAACAGCCACACGTGTGAAAAAAAGATGACCCCTTCCCCACTAGAGAATCCCAAGGAGGAGCAGAGAAGGGGGTGGGGACAGGTGGGAAGCAGCCCCCGCGCCGGTGTGGGGTGTGGGGTGTGGGGTGGTGCTGCCCCGCGGGCAAGTCCGAAGCCTGCGCCAAACTCTAAGATGCCCTGAGAACTTTGTTGATGCCGCCCCCGAAATGTCACCAGACACCTTGGACGGGAGCGAGTGCCGGCCACTCGGGGCCTGCGCCTCCCCTGCTTAGGCTTAAGGACCAGGTGCGTGGTGGGGGGGCTGGTGGGGGGGACGCAGCGCCCTGAGATCCCGGTTCGGCCTCTGGGGCCTTGAGGCGTAAACAGATGTCTAATGGTTTTCATCGAAGAGCGATTGCGTCTTTCACAAAGTCCCTGCAACGAACGGGAATCGTTTGCCAGCTTTGCCTTCCTGCAAACCTGCTGGAGGGTCAAGCGTGGTGGAGAGTGGGGAGGAGAAGCCCCGAGCTGGGACAAGGAGCCTGTGGCGCCGTGGGTTCAACGGGGGTTCCCGGGGGTCCCGGCTCTGTGCCTCCCAGCGCTCATCCCACTGGAAGATTCCGGCACGACACAGGGAGCAGCCTGATGCCTGCTAATACACAGGTGCCCGAACACTGGGGCACATCCACCTGGGGGTCCCTCAGGAGGGGTCCAACTGGAAGGCGTTCGGGCCTGCCTTGGGGAGAACGTCACACCATACGCTGCCGTCACAGTGGAGGAAACACCTGCTTAGGAACCGTCACTCTACTCTGCTGGATGCCTCCTGGGGCAACGGGCGACTGGGGGCCTGCTGGAGCACGCGCTCTGCCTTCCTGGGGTCTGAGGACACTGCTCAGAAGAGGCCACCACAAGCAGCGGAGGAGGACCCTGGCCCGCAGATGGAGCGGAAGCACAGGAGCCCTGACCCTGGTCACACTCTGAGCCCCGATCCCGGTCACACCCTGAGCCCTGGAGGCCCCTAGTAGAACTGAGGGGCGGCTGGAGGCCTCTCAGCGTGGAGGGGTCCTAGACAGCCCACACAGACTGACTGAGCCACATTCCCGCCGGCCCTCAGTGGACAGGTGCCACCTGGAGAGTTTCAGCTGGCTCCCCAGGGATGGGGCCGAAACTGCCGGAGCGGCCAGTCCCCGGGGGCCCGGGGTGTGTTCCCAAAGCACAGGTGGGGCCTGGTCTACAGACGAGGCGTCAGCTGGCCTGGGCTGCAGTGAAGGCGGCGGGCTGGCCGAGGAGGACGCAGGGGCGTGTGTGGCGGGTGTCGGATCCAGTTAGCTGTTCCCAGCTCCCGGCCCGCCCGCAGCCCGTGGCTCAGTGGGCGTAAAATCGGACAAGCCCGGTTGCTGCCCTGGCCGTTGCCCAGCCCAAGCTCATGCCCTGGCCAAGCCAGCCGGCTGCTAGGAGCATCTGACGCTATGTCCGCGGGATAGCTGTTCGTGGCGTAGTGAGGAAAGCACCGTCCCGCGGGAGAGGTGGCTGACGCACGCCAGGTGACATGGGGAGGTGACACAGGGAACCACACGCCGCGCCCTCAGGCCCCCCCCAGGGCCCCTCCAGCTCCTACATGGAGGCCACGGGGTGGGGGTCGGGGTCAGGTCCCCAGACAGAGAATTTCAACCACAGGAGGGCGGGGGGGTGGGCAGGGGAGGGCCGGGGAGGGATGGGCATCCCTGGGGACAGGAAGAGCAGGAGCAAAGTCTAGGAGGAGTCAGATTTGAATCCTCTGGGAAAAGGCGGAGGGGCTGGGTGGGGTTGCAGTGTGGCCCCCCCCGCGAGGCCGGGCGCCGTGGCCTTGACTGCCCGGCAAGAGGCCCTGGGACCTGCCAACAACCCTCCCCACCCCAGGGTTCACCCTGGCAGCCGCGGGCTTGGCCGAGGGTGTGAGAGTCACAGACGGAGCACGTCCTGGGAGGCTGAAGTGCAGGCACTCTGGGGGGCGCACGTGTGTGTGCAAGCATGTGCACACGTGTGGGTGGGGGAGTGGCTAGAGCCCCACTTCCATCCTGTCTGGGTCTTGGACAAGGACCTTCCTGTCACCTCCCTGCCTGACAGTGGGAGGGGACACTGGGGACACGGGGATTAGCATCCCCACTGTGACCCTGCCCCTCCCATCCCCTGCCCTCCATGCAGCACCTTTCTGTTGACCCAGCACTTCTCCTGTCCTTGTCCCCTTAAACCTCTGAGTTCACTTTCGCTGGTTGTCCGGGCAGAAATCTGCCCCCATGTCACTGTGCCCCACGACACTACCTCAGAGGAGCTGGGCGGGGCGGGCGTCAGGGCACCCTGGTAGCATTCAAACCCAGAACCACCGGACCCAGACTCTGCCCTGGAGATAGGCACGGGGACACAAGCAGGAAGGGTGCGGGGCAGAGGCAGGAACCAGGGTGGGGGGTAGGGGTGGAGGAGGAAGGAGACGGTGGGGAGCCCAGGAAAGGGAGTCACAGAGGGCAGTGAGGACCTCCAAACCACAGAGGGGGGCCCTCTGGGCTGAGGAGGGACCTGGGCTCTGGGAGGGAGGGAGGGAGAGCGATGGGAAGGGACAGGGAGGGCAGAGGAGTCCCCACAGAGGAACGGGGCGCCCGGTGGAGGCGGGAGGGCCTCTGAGGGCGGGAGGGGCGGGCCTCCACATTTCTGCCACCCACAGGAAACCCAATCCCACTAATCCGCCTGGCTGACCGGTTGGGTGGCTGCACTGGGTATCCGCTGGCCCGCGGGCAGGCCGGAGGCGCGCGTGCAGAGGTGCAGTGTGAGGACCTGACCATGAAGGGGACTCGGCTGGTGCTACTGGTACTGCTGCTGGTGACCTGCGGCGAGCATGGAGAGCGTGGTGAGGGGCGCTGGGCAGAGGCGCGGTGGAGGGGAAGCGGGGAGACCCAGGAGAGGCGGGGGGGGGGGGGGGGAGCAGGCTGAGCAGGAGGGAAGGGCCCAGCCCTGCGATGAGCTCTGCGCCGAGGGAGAGGCCTGGGGCGGGCTGGGTGGGCTGGGTGGGCAGCACCGGCCCGGGTAGGGGGGCTGGCTGGGGAGCCCTGGGAGCAAGTCCCTAGGGCTACGGGCACGGGCAGGGCCGTTGGCTGGAGAGGGCATGGTCACCACCCTGCCCCCTGGCTCCGGCCTCGGGGTTGTCTTGGGGAGACTAGGAGACTCTGCCAACGGGGGCTGCCGGGGGGTCTGAGAGAGCAACTGGGGGAGACGCCCCCGCCCCTTGGGACCCCAGCCCAACCAGAAGGGGAGCTGGGCAGAGCAGGCCCCCGCCGGAGGGAAGCTGAGGTCAACTCGAGGGACACAGGGACACACAGAGGGGCAGAGGAGCCTGTGGCCTCCATGCATGGACCAGCACGAGCCAGCCCGGCTCCCCGGGCTCCTGTGGGGTGGGGTGGGGAAGAGAAACGCTCCCCGGGGCCCCACCCCTGCTGGCCCGCACCCCACCCTGCCTGGGGCCCTGGGCTGTGGCTCTGCCCGCCTGTGGAAGCTGGCACCTTGGGAGCCCTGGGCCGGCCCGCCCTGTACCCCACACACTTCCTTGTCTATGCCCGATGCCCACTGCACCCCTCTGGGTGCTGCTCTTTGCTGGTCAGGACCCGAGGGGCTGTCCGGCCACACCGAGGCCACCCTGACCCTTCCTGACCCTGCAGGGCTGGCTGGCTCCCTGCAGGCACCTTCTCGATGCTTCCAGAGCGGTCCCCTCCCCACCCGGGCCCCGCAGGCGGAGCCCATCAGGGGCACCCTCTGTCTCTATGGACCGCAGCTCAGATCTCCCGAGTCCTCCCAGGGGCTGCGTTGGTGGGCAGTCAGAACCTGGATGGCACTGTCCCCCTCAAACCCGGGCCTCCAGGACAGAGGGCATGGGGAGGGGCAGGGTCGGCCTGATGCGTCCTCCGTCCCTCCTTACCCAGTGGTGGCCCTGCGATGCTACACCTGTCATGAGCCTACTGCTGTGTCCAGCTGTGCCACCATCGCCACCTGCGGTACCAACGAGACCATGTGCAAGACCACCCTCTACTCCCTGGAGACAGGTCAGCGGGTGCTGGGTGGGCGGGGCTGGGGTCCCAGGGCAGAGCTGCCTCCGGGACAGTCACCCCAGGCCAGCGATGCGCAGCAGGCAACCACCGCCTTAGCCATTTGCAAAAGGGTTTTTGGTCCAAGCAATTAGGCCTCCTTCCCTCCTCCCTTCTTTCCTTTAATGGAAAGGAATCCTCGCATTGCCTGGGGGTCACCTGGAAAGGGCTTGCCTCATCCAGCCAGGACCCCCTCTGCAAGTCTCTGTGTCCCCAGTGCAGAGGCGGCACTCAGCCCACGGTGGCGGGAGAAAAGAGGAAGGAGGGACGGGTCTCGGACGGCCTGAGAAGCAGTGCTGACCCGCCCTGGGGGTCACGGGGCAGGGCGCGGGGGCCCGAGGGCCGAGCTGACCAGGCCCCCAACATGGCCCACAGTGTACCCCTTCCTGGGGGACTCCACGGTGACCAAGTCCTGCGCCAGCAAGTGTGTGCCCTCGGACGTGGACAGCATCGGCCAGACCCGGCCCGTGTCCTGCTGCAACACGGAGCTCTGCAACCTGGACGGGGCCCCCGGCCTGGACGGCCGCCGCAGCCTAGCCTTGGCGCTGGTGCCCCTCCTGCTCTGGAGCCTCGGCCTGTAGCGCACCCCCGCCGGTCTGGGCAGCTGCCCGAGCGCCCCTGAAGAAGCCTTGTCCCTGCACCTGGCCTCCTGAATCTCCTTTCGGGCAGCTCTGCCGCCGGGACCGGGGCGGGGGGCCTCCGGCTGCGCGTCTGGCTCTGTCAGCCTCGTCCCGTGTCCCTCTCAGGCCCCTTCTCAGCCCCTCCTGGCCTCTGGGGTCTCTCTGGGGCCCTCTTGTCACCCACATGGCCACCCTCGTCTGCTTCCTCCCCGTGTCCCAAGACGTGCTAAGCAGGGATGGTCACTAGGCCATCAAAGCGGGCAGGGCTCTGCTCCCTGGGCCCTGTGGGGGCAGAGAGTGGGTTCCCGCAGGCAGGGGCAGCACCCCACCTGCCAGGCCCGGGTCACACATGGTGGCTTCTCGGTGACTGACTGGGAGAAGAGACAGGCCCCACCGGGTGGAAGGAAGGTCCAGCGCACTGAGAGTGGTCTGGGTCTGGGGTCGCTCCATGAAGGCCCCCTGCCCACTCCCCCGGCCCCTAGTGACATGCCCCCTTATGTCGGGTGGCACCTCCGTCGCCTGCCTTCTCCAGGCCCACTGAGCCCACTCTCTGGTGCCCCGAGCAGCCAGGCTCCAGGGCAGAGGGACCTTCACTCTACCGTGGCCCCGGGCACACATCCTCCGGCTCATCTTCCTGGGAGTCACCTGCCCCACAGGCCTCTTGTCCCAGAGGACCCCTTGCCGGCATCCAGGTTGGGCCTCAGCGCTCTCACGCACACACGCTCACACACGTGGTCCTGGAAACACAGCGAGGGCTCAGCACCTGAGGAGGGACGGACCCCCCCCAGTGCTCCCAGCCAGCGCTGGCTCCTCCCCAGGACAACCTGAGGGAGGTTAGAGGGGAGGGGAGGCGAGGGCCTTCAGTCACCCTGGGGCCTGCCCCTCGTCTCTGGCCCCCTGCTCCAGCACCTTCTCCTGGGCCCAGTCCTGGGAGGGGGTGCAGTTCCTTCTAGCTCACCAGGGTGCTCCCGCCGGCCTCCAGCCCTGAGTCCAGAGAGCCCTCGCCACCAGCCCTCACCCTCCTCCCGGGACTTCCTGCTCTGGGATGGGGAGGGCAGCAGCCAAGACCCGATGCAGCACTGTCCTGGCCCATGTGCCCCAGAGCCCCTCACGCAGACTCCGGGACTGGCAGGGAGCTGGGGAGGCTGGGCTCGGCCAAGTGCTGTCAGCGTGCCTGCGTTTGGGGTTGTGGCCCTGAGCTCTGACTGTCACGGGGGAGGCACCGTCCAGTAACTCATCACACCTCTTCCCTGGCATTTCTTGTGTCTCCCACAAAGGCAAGGAGAGTGGCGGGGCCACTTGAGCCCCACAGCCTGGTCCGAGACCCAATCCACACACACACACACACACACACACGCATGCACGCACACACACACGCACGGCCCTCCAGGCAAACACGGGAAGCTGTGTGCCCCCCTCCCGGCCGCCGCTCCCACCTGGCCTTCCCTCCCCTCCAAAGCCAGAGCAGGGCCCTTCCAGGCAACCCCAGCAGCCCATGGGGTCTCTCACCCTCCTGCCCACGCCCGTCCCAGGTCCATGCCCCCCTCGTCTTTACGGCTGCCCTCAGGCGGAGAGGCCGCTCTGCCTGGCTGACAGGTGGAAGAAAGGGGGTCAAGGGCTCGTGAGCACACTGGCCACACAGGAGGTCAGGCGGGGCCAGGACCCACTGGATCCGTCAGACTCCACACTAGACACTCCCTGGCTCCTCTTGCAACATCCTGGGCGCGATTGTGGACCCGGCCCCGGGGAGGGGCCGCCCCGGTGCTGCCTGTGCCTGCACCTGCCGTGTGAGGCCCCGTTGTCGGATCTGCAGCAACCGCCGTCTCGTCCTTTGCAAGCAACGCCCTCCCTTTGTTTCCTCAGTCCACAGGGCCAGGTCACGTCTGCCCTCGAAACTGCCCTAGGTTCCTAGTCCCATCCTACAGACAGGAATGCAGTCTGGAGGGGCAAGGGAGTCACCCCAAGGCCGCACGCAGAGCCATTGGCAAAGCCAAGACCAAAACCCAGGCCTCTGGAGTGCCAGCCCAACCTCCTCCCAGCATGTCATCCTGCCTGGAGATTGGGGTCTGACTCCATACCCTGCAGCAGGGCCCACCCCCCCCACACACACCCAGCCGGCAGCACGCTCGCATTCCTTCATCTGCCACCTACCCATCCACTTGCTCTTCCGTCTACTCATCCACCATCTCCCCCCATCTTTCCTCCCTCCATTCATGTACTCTCCAGCCATTCACTCTGCCTTCTACCCATCCACTCCCTCAAATATCACCCACTCACCCACCTGCCCACCCATCCATCTATTCACCCATGCATCCAACCATCCACCCATCTTCTCATCCATCCACCTGTCTACCCATCCATCTACTCATCCATTCACCAACCCACCCACCCATCCATCTGCTCACCCACCCACCCATCCCTCCACCATCCATCCACCCATCCATGTACTCATCCATCCATCCATCATCTACCCACCCATCCATCTACTCACTCACCCATCCACCCACCCAACTATCCATCTACTCACCCACCCACCCTCCATCCATCATCTACTCATCCATCCACCCATCTACCCATCCATCCACTCACCCACCCATCCATCCATCATCCACCTTCCCAGCCACCCATTAGGCCCTCAGAGGACAGAGAAAACAGAGTCTGGAACACCAGGATGACCTCTGGATGAGGGGCACCTGGACTGGGCCGTATAGCATGGGGAAGACTTGAGGCTAGGATGGGAGAGCAGAGACGGTGCCCACTGAGACGCAGAGCACAGGCAAAGGTGTGGGCACGGGAAAGCCTGCGGTGGGATGTGGGCAGTGAACAAAGTCAGAGAAGGCTATCAGGCCGGGAGACAGGGGGTGGGCAGGACCCTGTTTTCTGGGGCCTAAAACCTGGAAGCTCAGGCTTGGTCTAAAGGTCATTTGTAGGGAAGGGGCTGGCAGTGAATGCGGGGCCTGCCTGGAGCCTCACACCCATCATCCCGAGAGGAGCCTGGGCGCCCACCCCACCCACATGACACCATCCCCTCGCCTCAGCAGACACTCCCCACCTTCAGGCCTGTGCTCTGGTGGGCACCTGTGTCAGGGCAGGACATCCAGGTGTGAAGGACACCGGTCTTGGCCCTGGCTGGGTTTGAGATACGCCAAGTCCAGACTAGGGCCTGCCGAAGGGAGCTCAGTGCCTGTGCGGTGTCCATGTGGGCCACCACCAGGCGGGCTGGAGCCACGAGGGGTCCCACTGCCTGAGGGTCTGTGAGTGAGGTGGCCTGCCTATCCACCGTCCCGCCCACTGCCTCCCATTCTGCCTTGTGCCACCCTGCTGACTCACAGCCACTTCCGCCACCACCCTGGCTTGCGCCGCAGAGGGGAGGGTATAAGTGCCCAGAGGGTGGCCCCGGCACTGCCTCTCCCAGCTTCCGAGCACAGCAGATGGCCCGGTGCGGGGCTGCACTCCCACTGCTGCTCCTCGCAGCCGCCAGCTTGCATGCTGGTGAGCGGCCGGGAGGTGGTGTGGCTGGCGAGGGACCCGTCTCCAGGCCTCACTTGGGAGGGGGCCCTTCAGGGGCTTGGGCAGAAGGCCTCCTTCAGTCCCTACTGGGCTCATTTCCCTTGGCCTCAATGGGCTTTCTGGGCCCTAGAGCCTTCGCCCGGGACAGGCTCCCAGGCCCCATTGTCTAGGCAGGGAGACCAAGGCTCAGAGAGGAACGCAGTGTCCAGGTCCGCTGGTCAGAGCCCTGGGCCTGAAGGGCCTCAGCGAGGCGGGCTACCTCCCCAGGCAGGGGTGGGAGGGGAGACGGGCCAGGTGGGCACCGGGGATATGCCCAGGGGCGAGACCCTACGGCCTCTGCTCTAGCCTCCGAGAGGGCTCTCAAGGCCAGGTGATGAGTTTGCCCATCCCTACCCAGGTGAGGCCTTCAGATGCTTTACCTGTGAGCTGCCCACACCTGTTTCCTTATGCAAGAACATCTCTGTCTGCAAGCCAGAGGACACGGCCTGCAAGACCACGCTGCTGCAGATTGAGTCAGGTGAGTCTGGACCACAGCGGGCTGGGGGGTCCACTGTGGTCACCTTCCCCACATGGTCCTCAGGGCTGGAGGTGCAGGGGGCAGCGGTGGAAGGCCCACAGATGGGCTCTGTCCCGCCCCCATGCTACACCGCAGGCCCCAACAGGGGCCTGGAGGGAGCATGGACAACTTCCCAGGCCCGGCCATTAGTTTGGGGGTCACAGGGTATCACTGGAGGGGTCAGGAAGGATCAGATCAAGTGCATGGAGGTCGGGGCAACTGGGCAGGCCCGGGGAGTAGAGGAGCAGGCCCTGACACCTGCCCACGGCCGGCAGAGTACCCGTTCCACCAGAGCCCCATGGTGACCCGGTCCTGCTCCAGCTCCTGCATAGCCACCGACCCCGACAGTATTGGGGCCGCCCACCTCGTCTTCTGCTGCTTCCATGACCTGTGCAATTCAGTGCAGGCCAGCAGGCTCCTTGGTCACCTTCCCTGAAGGTCCTGGCACCAGCGGAGGTCACCTCTACCCACTTCCGTGAGCTTCCCAAGCCTCAGGTTAATCATGGGACCCAAGGGGTGAGAGCCTTGCAGGGGGCACTCTCTGGCTCCCACACTGGCAGAGAATAAAGCAAGCCAAGGCACAGACGACCCCGTTCCTTCCTGGGTGCCGAGAGCCCATGGAGCTCGGCTGCAGGAGCACTGGGCTGAGTCGGGCCACTCTGGGCACTCGGGCTGTTTGGACTCATTTCATGGAAGGGAGAGCGGTGGCTTCGGGGGCGAAATGCATCCTGGGCCGGCGTTCATGGAAACCAGTCCCAGGGCACCTCAGAGCAGGACCAGCTCCTGAGCCCAAGGGAAATCTGCCCCCACTCCCAACCCCCTGGTAGGAGGGAAGCAGGAGTGAAGGGTGCGCATGTCTGCCCTGGGGCGGGGGGTGGGGGCTGGGAGCACAGCACGTGGTCTCCCCGAGTGGGCATGGGGTGGGCTGCATCTGGGCCAGGTGTCACCCACACACCTGGCCTCACTCACCTCCCCTGACCAGGGGCCCACCGAGTCCTTGGCCCTGGGGACAGCCAAAGTGAGAAGAGATGGGGTGCAGGACGCACTAAGGACATGCCAGCTCGGCCCAGACACCAAGGGCCAGTGCCGGGCCCTGCACCACACTGGACACGCGGCACCCGGGGTGGGGACAGAGGGGCCAGACCTCGGACCCTGTTTCCCTTGCAAGCTGCCCACCATCCCCCCCGCCCCAGGCCCTGACCTGGCTTGGCAGCCCTGGGGGCAGGTGGGGCGGGAGCTACGCCCTGCGCACTGGCAGCCTCGGAGCCTGCGTGGCCCCAGCGGGCCGCCACCCCTCCACAGGCCCCAATTCCCACCGGTGCCCTCTGGGTTGGGCACTTTCCGGGTTCTGCATCTCGGCCAGCCTTCCCCAGAGCTTCTGCAGCCAAGAACTCCAGCATCCACTTGCCCACTCCCCGTGGTGAGATGGGGCCCTGGGCCCAGGCCTCCAAATCTGGGGTCCGGCAGCTTTCCTTGGGCTGGGGCCGCACGGCTGACAGAGGGCGCCCCTGCCCCAGCCCGCGAGCCCGGGCGGCCACCAACGCAGCCGAGCGGCCTGAGCCTAAGGAAAGCCCCTGACGTCTGCAGGCCTGAGAACGCCTGCCAGCCCTGCACATCCCGCTGTCCCCTCGGGAGCTGGGGAGGCCACGGAGGAGGCCTTGGGACGGCTGGCCCTGGCGTGCCCACAGCGGGGACGGGAGATGCTCACACAGCTGGGGGCACTTGCAGCCTTGGGATCCAGGAGTTGGCTGTGGGGTCACAGAGAACACAGGAGGGGAGATGCCCACCAAGGGTGATCCACTCCATAGGCAGGATGGCTGAGGCTGCTCAACGCCCCCCGCCCCACACCTGGGCCCTCGTCAGGATCCTCCTCCCTGGTTGGAGCTCCTCCAAATGGAACAAGTGAGACAGCCTCCCCTCCCGTCCCCACTGGCTGGGGCATCTCCCTTGAGTGGACAGAGAAAACCCGGTGCCCCTGGGACACACGATGTTCAGCCTAGATGCCCCCGACCATCCTGAACACCTCCTAACACAGACCCTGCCTCCCAGCCCCTGCCCTGCTCTGGGGTGCCAGCTGGCCGCCACCGCTGCAGGGACCTGCTGGGACCCAGACCCCCAGACCCACTGTGTGCACACCGCTTCCTGTCCCTAGTCCCACCATGTGACACCTGGGGTGACCCCCATGCTCCCCCACCCCCCGTATGTGCCCCACAGGCCCTGCACGTACACCTGTTAGACGGGCAGACACAGATGTTCCGCGCGGATACCCAAGCACCCCTGTAGGCCAGGCACCGCTGCCCAGGGTGAGTGCGAGGCCCAGCCTGGCCAGCCCCAGGGCCCAAGGGCCAGGTGGGACGTGGGAAGAGCTGAGCTTCGGCAGACCTCCCTCGGCCTCAGCCAGGCTGCAGCCTTCCCTCCCCAGTGCCCGCTTCGAATCCAATTGCCGGTTCTCTTCCAGGCCCTCGGAGCAGGTGGTCAGGGCACAATGTGGCCCATAGCACCCCTCATCCGCCTTATGTGCCGGCCCCACCTCCTGCCCTCTTTGAGGGACTTACGGCACGGGCCCTGGGGGACCCCCACCTCCACCCATTAAGGCCCACTGACCTCTGCCCCACCTGCCGCCCCCACCCACCCCAGGAAGCCCAGAGTCTGAGGCCTAACCTCCCAAACTCCTCTGGGGGATCCTGGGACCAAACACAAACGTGCACCGGCCGTCGCAGCCTGGGAACGAGAGCATCAGGGCCCCGGGCCCACGTTCTGTGAAACAGGAGCAAGTCGTGCCCTGCCCTCCTGGTCCCTGAGGTCACAGGATCCCCAAAAGCTCAGACAGCGCCCCACCCCGGAAGACACCGCAGGGAGAGGCCCCGGCTTCCCCAAGGGACCAGGGCTTCGGGAATGAGGACTGCCTCTAGCACACTGACTTTAAAAACCCTTTAATCTCGGGTTTTCTTAAATAAAACAAATGTTGCAGCTTTCCTTTGCGGCTGTAAGGCAGACGTCAGCGAGGGGGGCAGGAGGGGGGCAGGCGGGACACGGGCGGGCTGCGCTCCCAGCTCCGGCTGGTGGGGCCTGGCAGGGCGGCGGGGGGGGTGGCCCCGGCCACACCACGGGCTGGCGGGAGCAGGTGCGCAGCGGCGGCCACCTCGTCCTGGGCGAGCAGCAGTGCCACCCCCGGGGCCTGAGCCGCGTCTCCAGCCGCCCGGAGCAAAGGCTCCGGCTCTGCCCACCCGGCCGGGCCGCTCTGGGTTCTGCTCATCCTTGGGCCTCCTCGGCAGGAAGGCGAGCGAGGAGGCGGGGACAGGCAGCTCGGCTGGTATCCCAGCAGCTGGTGACCCTGACAGGGAGCCCCTCAAGCAAAGTCGTAAAGACCCTTCCCTGGCCCCAGCGCTTGGAGGGAGGGAGGAAGTCCCCAGAGGGAAGATGGGGACGATGACCCCAGGAGGGCAGGCCAATGAGGTGAAGGCCCAGAGAGGACAGGGCCCTCACCACGGTCAGAGCACAGGGCCCAGTGAGCACCCAGTGGTGCAGAGAAGCGAGGGCAAAGTGCAGAGGGCATGTGGGCACAACCCTGCTCCCTGCTCTGCTTCCTCGGCAGCAGCAGGCCCAGCTGGGACGGGAGGCTCACCACCAGTACGGCCACAGGACACCCTGTGCCCCCCGACCTGCACCGGGCCCCAGCACATGCTCCGACCGCCGGTCCTGCCCCCACCCCAGGGGCGCCCCTGTGCCCTCTGGTCGGTCTGCCTGGCCCCAACTGCGCAGACCCCACCATGGGCCTGCCCCGCCCTCACCCTCGGCCAGAGGGATCCGCTGTTGTGATCAGGCCCCAGCCGTGCCCCAGGGCTGCTCTGGCCTCACCCCTGCCGCAACACTCCCCGCCCCACCCCCAGCAGCTCCGTCAAACTCAAACTCAAGACTCCGGGGCTCAGGGTGGTTCCAGCTGGTCCCTCTGGCCCCAGCACTCTCCCAACTTGAGCCTACGGAAGCCTGGCTCCATCTGCAGGGTGGGGCCAAACCCTCTTCCCCACAACAGCCCACAGGCCGAGGGCCCTGGGCCTCCCACCTTCCTCATCACCTCCACCCCGAGGGCAGAGCTGGGGCCGGGCACCTGTGTCGCCCCCATCCGGTGCCCAGCGTGGTGTGGGGGCAGGGAAGGAGTATCCAAAACTGGCAGGGGGAGGGAGGGCCGGAGCATCGGAAGGGGGGCTGGGATGCAGGCTACTCCAACGGGGAGACGACTCTGCGCCAGCCCACTCTGTGCTCTCTGCCCCTGGCACGCAGGGGCGGGTGGGCAACTGCCCCAGGGCGAGGCCAGTGGGGGGCGTGGTGGTCACTGGTCCTTGACCACGTCACTGAGCCCGCTCTCAGCCCTGAGCAGCTGGCTGCTGGTCTCGTTGTAGGCGATCCAGTGCCGCAGGTCTTCTGGCAGCTCCGGGGGTTCCACCTGCGGGGGGGGGAGAGTATGATGCCCACGGGCACCACTGCCAGTGCGGCCAGTAGGGGTGCGGGCAGGGTGCCCAGCCAGGGTGTTGCTTTCACACCACTGGGCCTCCCGCCGTGCTAGCTCTCAAGACATCATCCTCCTTCACCAGGCCCGTGTCCCCAAGAGGGCCACACCTGAGGCCACGCCCGCTGCAGGGAGAGAAGTGACAGGAGACAGGAGGCCCAGAGGGCTTCAGGAGTAGGGGGGGAGGGGATGGCGGGGCGGAGAGGAGGCCGTCAGAACGCCTCTGCTGGCAGAGTGCTGGACAGGGGCCTGCCTGGGGCCCCTCTGTCCTCAGTGCATCAAAAGAGGCTGAGCCTGCGGCCCTGGGCCTGACTACTGTGTCCCCACCCCTGCACACTCAGCCCCCAGTGCGATGGGGAGGCTGGCAAGACGCAGGGTGAGGGGGATGCCCGTGTGGCTCAGGGGCTGAGCATCTGCCTTCAGCTCGGGGCATGACCCCGGGGTCCCAAGATTGAGTCCCGCATCCGGCTTCCTGCAGGGAGCCTGCTTCTTTCCTGCCTCTCTCTCTCTCTCATAAATAAATAAAATCTTAAAAAAAAAAAAAAAAAAAAGATGCAGGGTGAGGCCTGAGCGGCCAGAGGCCTCGTGGACGGGCTGCGGGCGTTCCAGGGCCAAGGGCAGAAGCACGGGCAGAGGCACTTGGGGCCGTGGCCCTGGCTGGCCCTATAGATGGGGGAGCTCTGCTCAGTGTCCCTGCCAGGCTTTTGGGAGCACCGCCCTCCCAGCCCGCTGCAGTGACCAGCTGCAGTGCCTCTGTTGCCCCAAGGCCACCCTAATTTCAGCAGGCAGGATCCCCGGGCACTGGACTTGGATGGCCTCGCGCTAAGCCCGGGGTTCTGTCCGGGGCCCCCCTCCTGCAGGAAGAGCTCTCTTCTATCTCTTAGCCCCAGCTCTTGATCTCCGATTAAAATCTTTCACGGCCAGTGACTGCCCATGCCAGCCTCCTAACATGGGAAGGGACGTGTGGAACAACTCTGCCCCCACAGGGTGGGCGACATCCAGGACCTCTGGGGGTGTGCCGAGGCAGAGAACCAGGGAGCTGTGCCCATGGCCCGAGGTGTAGCTTTGAGCAGTTCCCACGGCCTCTTTGAGCCCCAGTTTCCCCACTTTTGATACGGGGGAAAGGCTGGCCTGTCACGATCAAGGTGAGCTTGTGACCCTCCTTGCTCAGGAGGCACCTGTCCAAAGCCAGAGAGGGCAGTGCCCTGGTTTAGGGCACTAGGGGTTGGGGCAGGCCCTGCCTTTGGCTTGGAGGCTCCAGGCAAGTTTGTGGGAACCCGCCTGAGGCTGGGGCCTGCCTGGAAACCATCGCTGTGCTGGCGCCCTGGCTCGTCCCCAGAGCCCCCGTTGCCACGCTGCAGGAGCGGGCTGTGCTGAGCTGGGAGGAGCGGGCC